AATGAACAATTGCAGATTTGAAATTAGATTATAAAGTAAAAACAATGTGTACACTGCCATGGAGGATAATTTTTTTAAAAATATGATTTTATCAGATTTTTGTTATGAGTAGACAGAGTTCCTCCCTTTATACTACATCTTCTTTTCATCATTATGAATGAAGATACTGATTCAGAAGTCTTTTTTTTTTCATCAAATTAAGCCCAGTGCTACTTGTAATGTGTATTTAAAAAATAATAATGAATTTGTAAAGACTTAAAAGATGTCAAAATCAATGAACTATTTTAGAGATGTAGTAAAAGCAGTTCTGGTACATCAGAATTATAGGCAATTTTTCTTATATCAAAATGCTCAAATATATAACAAGTGGGATAAAATAAAACTGAGATCTGTAAAAAGGACAAAAAATTATATACATGTAGGAAGAACAGTCTGAGATAATGCTAGTTTTTACAAATATAAAGTCAAGCTGCTTGTAACTTAAAAAGAGAATCTGAAAATTTACAAGAATTCAAGAATTAAAGAGTTTTATTGAAGTTTAATACATAAGTTTTCTTTTAAAGGTGTTATCATAATTTATACTGCGATTTTATGATTTAGTTGAAGATACAAGAAAAATTTATAAAACTATATTTCAGTCTTATTTAAAAGTATTGACAGGCATTAAAATGTATGTAATTACATGTATATTTTTAAATATTCTACTCTGTTCAGAGTCCTTACAAGGTAGTGCTTTTTACAAACCTAATACTGGTATATTGTCAACAAGTGCTTCAGATGTTTTTTTTCTAAGTTGCTTGTTTTCTATTAAGAAAACTGCGTTTGATATAGCTGTCTTTTACTTAAGACTTCTTTCCTTTCTTCAAATATCTTAAGATCTGTCAATTCTTTGAATCTTTTTTGCACAACTCTTGATATTTTATGATATGGATTTTGTAGATTAATCATAAGATGGTTAAGATTGTATGACATAAATTGTTCAAGGAAAAATAATTCCAATTTCACGTACAGTTGTTTTGATTCCCTCTGATAAATTAATGCAAATGCTCACTTATGGAGTAAATGTTTGATTGTATGAATTCTGTTTTGTTTTATGTACTTATAGTTTTTGAGATAGTAAAAGTTTATAATTTTTTATGTACATAAATTATATATCTAAAGCAACGAAAAGTATTCAAAGTCAACAGAGTTTGTCTTTTTTTTTAATGGAAGATTGCAATAAAAGCAAAAATGCTCTTAAAATTCAATTCTGTACTGGGAATATTGAAGTAGAACTTAGACTCTGAAATGAAACACGTTTTTGACTATCATTTTTCAGTAATAAGTTGAAATTTTATGCCAAATCAGTCATTACATTTGAATGTAAATGTATGAACTTGTTTGAGTTGTATGACTTGTGACAGAGAATATTTATTATGAGAACTGTGTTTATTCCAAGTTACTGCTGTCCGACTAGAAAGCTGTTCAGGTCAGGTTTCATCTATTAATTTACGAAGTAATGTTTTACTTGAATAAAAGTCAGTAGATTAATTTAGAATGTTAATGATGATTAAACATTCACACTGCCTTATAAATATTTTCAATTTCAAAACGTAGGAAAAAAATCCTGCATCATAATTGTCATCAAAGAAATGCAAAGTTTTGAAAAAAACGAGAATGTCCTTTAACCAGTGCAGTAAATGTTTCACAGTAGGATGTACAGATAGTTATCTGAAGACTCATGTTAAGTCTCCCATGGTCCAGTACCATGTTGTCAGGAGAGAGACTTCATCTTCTTCCAACATATCGAGATTCTTTCGTCGATTTATCCCCGTATCGAACTTGGGTCTTTTCACCGAATCTTCTGCTCCTTGGTCCCTTGTTTATTGATTGATTGTTTGTTGATTTACATGTCCCGTTCGAGAATTTTTCACTCATATAGAGAGGTCACCATACACCGGTGAAGGGCTTAAAATTTAGACCTTTACTCGGTGGGCCATTGAGCAGTGAAGGTTCTTCATCGTGTCAACGCCTACCGTGACACAGGGCCTCGGTTTTTAAGGTTTCATCCGAATAACCCGCAACTTACACTTCAAAGTGCCGAGCGCTTGGCGAAGGAACAGTTGCTACCTATTTTTATTAATCGCGGCCGTGATTCGAACACATGACCTTCCGATCACTGAGTGAGCGCTCTACCGACTGAGCTACCGTGACGGTCTCCCTTGTTGAGGTCAGAGACATAAATAATGTTTTTCATCTCTCTGTTGGGGGTATATCCTTCTCTGTTGTGAAAAACAGTTGCTGTTTTCTGTTATGGTCATAGGCGTCGGAACCGGGGGGGGGGGCTGGGGGGGCTTAGCCCCCCCTCCCACACACACTTTTTTTTCAAAGATAGGTATAATATAGGCATTGGGAATTGGGGCTTACCTTTTTCCGTTGGTTTAGCCCCCCACCCCCACTTTCAATTAGCCACCCCACTTTCAATTTGCTTCCGACGTCTATGATGGTTGAGTAGCAGCAACTGTTATCTCCGCAACATTGATCCAGCATTTCCCCCTTATGAGTCATATTTTATCCCACAAAACTATTAAATCATTAGATGCAATTGTTAAAGTATTAAAAGAATATTTAAAAAAATATTAATTTTTGTACAATTCATGAATCAATAAACATTTCTTTCTTTTTTTAAAAAAAAAAAGATTCACTAAAATAGGCTTCTTGAAACTATGACCAATTAGATATGTTACCGTATATAACAAAAATCATTTTTAATAATTTGTCTAGGTCATTGAACCGCAAAGTCAGTTTTGCTTTCAGAAAAAGCAAAATTTTGTTTACATATCGGCTTGTTTTGTTTTGAAGATGTGTTACTGAATAAAAGGATTGAAAAAAGTTCTTACAACTTATATTATTGGTTCCTGTCCTAAAATATTATATGTTATGCAAAATAAATCAAACTTCATCTGCTGATTCATATTGATTAGAGCTTTTGAACTGCATTAACATTGTTACCTTTCCTTTTGATTTTTACCTCACCTTCTTCAATTAGTCATTATCTCATTTTCAGAGAAACTTAGGATATTTTTATCAAATCTTATATGCCTATACATATGGACCAGAGCTGTTCAACTGCATCAACATTTTTTTTACCTAAGCCTTTCCTTTGACTTCACCTATCTTAAAATTGTATTAAGGTATGTCACTCGTCAGCCTTTTAGAAAATTTCAGTCAGAACCTTTTACTTAAAAACTATTTATTACAATTCAATCTTTATAACATATTTAAATTAAACAATGTAAAATGTTCAACATTCAATTAAAAAACGGCTCAAAAATTCACGAAGAAGCAAGATTTATAAGGGACTATTTCTTGTGGCGGAAGGATATTTAGCAGAAAATTCTGCAAATCTACACATTTATTGAATTTAATATCTTGGAACTTTAGCCTTACATGTACATACTTTTACTCAGAGTATACATGTATTTACCGTTATGATATGCTTTGAATATTAAATATAGGTCTCAATTTATATTTTTATAACAAAATTTACACCTTCGCTCAACAAACATTGCCAAGAAACGAAGATATATTAAGGAAGTCGAGATAAAATTTACACAGTTTTTTGGCCTGAAAATTGTATATTTTGACCAATATTTCAAAATTTACATCATTGACCCCAACTTTTTCTTTCATTATTTTAAACTACTCGATACTTTTGACCGATCAGCACTTAAGTCGTAAAAAGTTTGATACAAGAAAATATTCTATTGCCTATTTAGATTTTTAATACCCCAAATATGAGACTTTTTTAGTGCAAAAAGGTCACGCGATAATTTACGCGCATTAATTTGCATGATTTGTTCAATGATAAATATTATTCAAACTATTTTACGTAAATTAAGATCATGTTCATTGCCATGGTTACATCTTATAAAATATGATAACGCTTAAAGTGATTAACCAAAGGGTTACAATTTAAGTGCAAAAAGGTCAACTTAATTGTACCGTAGCTCAGTTAGATGCACACTGACCCCCCATTTTCTCTGCGATTTTGAGTCATACTATATGAGTACTTATCCAAAATATACTTCTCAAAAAATCCTTGATATAACAAATTTCACGAGTGACATACCTTAAGCTCAGTTAAAAAACCGTAAAAGATATTTTAATTTAATCTACTATGCTGATAGTCGCCCGCGTGGCGCAGTGAATAGAGCGTTCGCTCTAGAGTCGCGGAGTAAGGAATTGATCCTTACGTAGCGGGTTCGAATCCCACTGTGGGACGTGGAGACCGGTCCTTCGCCCATGCAATTTCTATCCTAGACCCTACCATTCATTTATCTAGGTCACTTCACCCCACAATCTAGGTTTTTCACTCCACATATGAAAATGAGAAAGTATTTCTGAATGCAGACGAATGTAGATTTTGTTGTTACATTGTGAAATAAATCATATATATGTCTTTATACTGAGAGAGTTTTTCAGCGTCGGTTACCCTAAATGATCTCAATTATATCTTTTTTAGCCGAAAAGCTCTTTCTTATATTCTTTAACTCTTATGTTTATATTTTTATGTTTATTTAATAATTAAACTTTATACTAGGTTCCTTTATATTATTATTTGAATCCTATGTCCAAATCCGTATACGTTGGTTGGTTATCCATTTCACTAAAATTAGTTATAAATCGTTCCGATCTCAAAACTTTTTACAGAGAAAGTTTAAACATGAGATAAGATCTAAGGATATTTTTAGAATTTGTGTAAGAATTTTTAAAAATTCATACATAACATGCTCCTGTGAAAACTGCGAGAGATTGCAGCATCGTTTGTGTAACATGAGTAAGATTAATAAATAAAAGTTCTTGAATATAAAAGGGAGAAGAAAAAGTATCCATATAGCATACACATTAAAGTAAATGAAATAAGTTGAGTTAAATAAAACAACGTTATGAGATATTCTACAATTTAATTTGCAAAACCAAAATTTTAATAGTTGGGTCAAAATTGTATTATCTTCAACTCATAGCTCATCATTCTTTGCCATTAGCCAATAGGTTGTCATCTTTCCTTTTCCCTGTAAAAACAGCAGATTTTTCCGTTCCTTGCGGCAAATGAGTTATGATTACAAATCAATAGAATAAATAAAAATTGTTCTATATTTTAAAAACCTTTAGTTTAAATTTACTAGAAAACAGAAATAAAGATGATTATACATATAAAATCTATTTGATCCGCAAAACTCAGTGAACATAAGGATTGTTTGAAAATTATTTGAGCAAGTTAGAAACAATTGTGCTTTGTATTTCTTCTCACCTTTATTGCAATGGGTCCTCGTTCAATTAACAAAAACTGATCATGGGAAACCAAGAGATTTCGTGTTGCCAAACTAACGTGGATTTTCATGGCTTCAATGTACAAAGAATTCATTTAAATTTCAAAGTCCTCTATTTCCATCGTAAAATTTCACGAGGCATTCCCGTTGATTTGAAAAATGATAGAACGAATTACATACGCTATTTAATGTGGATTTTCAACATACTGACCACTAAATGTGCCCTGAATAGAACATTTTTTATTTGCTGGGGGAAAAATTGAGTAAATCTGAAGTAAAAGTACAGCCTTTAAAATATTTCTAATGTACAAAATTTAATATTTTTAATATTGATTCATATATTTTTTTTTCCTGTTACGAATCAAATCATTTGTCTGCAAATAATTCAATTCTAAAAGATTTCATATGTCTTACCTTCCCCATTAGATTCCATTCTTGATGCTGTATTGACAGTATCTCCAAACAAACAATAACGGGGCATCTGTTTTCCTACTACTCCAGCACATACAGGCCCTGAGCAAGATATCAAAGAATCCGTATTTAAGGTAAATTTAATACTAACTGGAATAAATGACTATTATTCCTTTATGAAATTTTGTCAAAAGACTAATTCTTTCAAATGTTGCCAGGTTATAAGGTATAATTAAATTGTGTCCATTTTAATTTTAATTTATATTTCTGTTGGAAAATTGTGAGCCATCATACGAGTTAACAAATGAATATTCAACCTTTAAATGATATTTCCGTTGATTGCATTTATTTACAGCTTGTAAATCAGACAGAAGTTCACCTGAATGAATGCCTATTCGTGCCTGAAGATTTATTTCTGGTAAATGCCGTATTCGGAAGTTCTTCACATTGTCCAAGATAGACACCGACATTTTAGCTATCTCGGTCACGTGCTCATTCCCATTGCGCAGAGGAAGACCGGAAACAACCATGTAAGCATCTCCAATAGTTTCCACCTCCAAAACAGTTTATTACATCAATAATCATGAATGAAAAATTATCCAATAAGTAACACGTGAAATGAATTTGCAGACCTACCTTATAAACATCAAAGTTCTCTATGACTGTGTCAAAGCACGTATACAAATCGTTGAGCAAGTCTACCACCTTTATGAAGATTAAACCCATTTAATGTTAAAATATTTTTCTAGAAAAAAAAATTTGACTGGAAAAATTACTATTCCATATTTATTTAATACAATTAGTTAATCATTGTTTAATAAATTTATCACTAAAATAAGATTCTTAAGTAAGAGTTCCATCCAAATGACAATGCGTTTACGAAGGGTTATCAAAAGGTTCGTGGACTAGCGCCATAAAATCAAAACAGTTTTAGATACATCAATGAATTTTTACACATTTAGTTAGCATCATCTTTTCTATCTATAGAATAAACCATAAATCATAAGTTTTATTTTTTAATAAATTGTGAACGTTTTTGTAAGCAATGGTATGTCGCAACCTCAAATATGACGTGTTTTTTTTCTACCTGAGTGTTACTGAGAAAAATTCTTTTGATATGAGCATTTGTCATCAAAAAATCCCCTTAATTCAGGCATGTGGAACGACACAATTGTTCCGTAAAATTTGTACTTTTTACCCGATTCTGTAAGTTCTATGAAATTTAATCGTAAATTTTATATGGAGTGTCCAAACAATTATGGGCTTGAAAATGACGTCAAAAAGGGGGAGGGATTTCTTTTTCCAACATTCTATAAAGTTTCTCTCCTGGAAAACTGGTATAGACCTAAGGAATGTTTAAACGGGCTACAGAAAAATAAAATGCATCCATAGTACTTGTTTTTAAATGCCCAAAAAGATTCAGAGAGATGAAAGATGCACAGTTAACGTCGATTTTTAGTCAGGATGTCAAAGGTCAGTCACATCGAAAAGTGACGTTGATCATATGTGGTAGCAAGCTAAATATTATGGCAAAATCAAGTGAGGATCTTTCCCTATGTATAGATCCATTTACAATATTATATGAATTTAAAGCAGCTGTTCATTACATTGTAAAGACATATAAACAAGACGTGCTTAAATCCTTACTTAACTCCAGGTAATTTCATCAAGATAAGTGTATGAGGTAGAGAGAACGGACATTGAGAAACAATGACGTTGTCCGACGTCATGAAACTAAACGGCGACAGCGCCGGGTGATCATATAATGTCTTTTTTATTTAATGATAATTTGGCAAATTATCAACGTATCAATTTTCAACATTTCTTTAACTTTTATTGTTTTATGTTCCTTATAAATTTTGTAAGCGTAGACTACATGGTATTAATTTTATCTGATCAGTCCACGAACTTTTTGATAACCCCTCGTACACAAGAAATTCAGGAAAATGTCAATAACCATATAAACCTTACCTGCATGGGTGTGCTTACTGTGGATATTGAGGTGAAGCCCACAATATCACTGAAGTAAATCGTGACACATTGGTATGCTTCAGCCTCTATTTTGTTTCCATGAATTAAGTCACGTGCGATGCTCCTTGAGTAAAAAAAATACATTACGTTTAAAATATTCGATTTAACACAGAGCAAAACAATGTTTTAAAGAGAAACTATCAAAAACCCGTTACCTGGGTAACACCTGATAAAGAAGCTCCTCTGAACGTCTTTTTTCATCCAAAAAGGCATGCATTTTTTCCTCGGCAACATTTTCTAAATTATTAGCGTACTCCTCCATTCGGGAAAGAAGGTTGTCAAGAAAGTTCTCCCCTAATGTACCCCTTGTAGAATTAAAAGGTAAATAATTAAGAAAGATAGTATTTTGAAGTGAATTATATTTATTGAATTTGTCAAATCCATTTTAAGGTAGTCCGTTCCTCAGGTTCTATGAATCAGTGGTGAAGTTATTAAAAATACTAAAATAAAAAGTAACTGAATTCACAAATTAATGTGAATAGCCCTTGCTATTTTTCAAAGTACGTCATTATAGTTAATCATTTCATATATAAGGAAAATTATCATATCTCCAATATATTTTCAGAATAAAAGTGAATAAAAGCACCAGTTTTACATTTTCTTGTTAAAATTTGATCAAAAAGTATTTTTAGGATAAAAAGCCATCGGTATTTTGGCTTTCGGGAAATAGCAGGTTTTTCTACTTAGTTCTATCAACTTCAATAATTATATAATGCTTAGTGTACAAAGGACGTCATTTCACTGCATTGATTTTACAGATAACTTCCAATTTCAGTTCACGCTAATAAACATTGATATGGAAGGAAATTCAATTTCTCTATAATTTTTTGTACCTTCACGGGGTGCAAATGTCTACATTTTATAAGGCTGTTACTGTATAATGATGAATGAGATGAAAGTAATAAAAAAATGAATAAATTTCAAGAATCTTGTTGAGACATTCCATCGAGTAATAATTTAAAGAGTTTCCGAGAAATGTCTTTCCTTAATCACCTTTCTTTTTTATTTTCTTAAAAGTAAATTTTAATTTCAGACATTTTCCATAATGCTTTTGGATACATATATCTTTTTTAAGTTTATCTATATATGCCACAATCATATCTAAGATACAATGTACTTGCCATTTCATCTGCTTTGAATCCTTTGCTATACTCGGAAATGTTGGTCTATTTTCTACATTTTCCTCCAAGCATGAATACATCATAGATATGAGTGAATTATCCCCTTCCAGTTTATCCTCGAGGCCTGGTCTGAATGGTGTTTTGGATGGAAATTTGATCCTATCGATGATGTCTAGGAATGCATAAATCACATTCAATATTCAGAAAACACTAAAGATTGTATTTAACATATTATCACATATAAAATTTATTTTATAAAATATTTTAAAAAAGAAAATAAAACTTCATGTGAGGGCAGGGTTTTAAAACCTGCTATGACATTGTCTCATTAAATTACAACAGTACTTAATAAGAAAGCAAATGTTGATACACTCGTATATGTACCTTCTATGGAACAAAATTTCATCTCATCTTCAAAGGGTTCTTTTCTGGTTATTATTTCGAGCACAATCATTCCAAAACTGTATACGTCAGCGGACTGCTGCACCGGGGTGTTTCTTCGCATATTTCTTAATAGCTCCGGTGCAAAGTAAAGTAGTTCTACAGTTTTAAATGAATTCATATATCAAATAGATCAAAATATTGGTAACTTTGGACCGTTTTGGAGGGTTTGTTTGTTTATTCCATATACTTCTGATAAAAATAGTGTAGCGAAATTGAACATTAAAACAGCCAGGATGCCTTATACTTTTACATGATATAATATTTGAAAAGTTAGAACAAATTCCCATTAAAACTTACCAAGTTAATTCTTCAACAATTAAGCATTCAGAATACCTCTTTTGTCTGTTCCAAGAGTTTTACTTCGAATCGTTGGAAGTCCGAAACCATCTAGTTTAAGAACAAATCGTCTATCAATCAAACATTGATGACTGTTTAAATTTCCATGGACACCGATAGGACTATTGTGGAGATAGCAACATCCCTGAAAATATTTTTAGTTTATCCATAAATGTATTGCGTGGTCTTATGTTCATAGTTTATCCATAAAGGTATTGCGTGACCTTATTCATAAGCTATGTCGAATTATATCGTTGAATGAATTTGCAAATTAAACACATTTATTTGCTTTCCAAATGGTAGGGGAGAACTTTTAACTTTTTTCCTCCGATAATTACAAGTGTAAAAGAAGGACGTGGCTCATGCGATCACTCTTGGTGTTTAACAGGTGTTTAACACTTGAAATAGCTATTTAGCATCTTAAGCAACTTAGTACTGCTTCACTTGAAAACATAAAAATGCCACCCGTAAGAGCTAAAAAACAGACAAGTCCTAGTTCTAACTGGGGAATGACAATAGCAACAGTTCAAAGAAGAAGAGCGGCCAATAGATAGAGGGTAAGGAGAATGTGAGCTTCAGTCCGCCAAGCTTCAATTAATATCACGATCTCACATGAAATTTCGAATTTATTAATTGAAAGACGTACAGCACCAAGTAATGATAAATTCGAGATGCTTAAGATGGAATGTCTCTCTGATAAGAGAGATACCTTTTCAAGGAAATTATTCCGAGCTATCCAATGAATTGTCTTACCAGAGTTTAACAATGAGGACCAATTTACAGTCAATTCAACCAAGTCTGAATTATGTTACAAATATTGATATCTGTTTTCTTTTGCTAATATTTTTCATAGTTACTTATAATAGTTGACCTAAAACGTTTGCACTCAGTTATTTTAAACTTTTAAAATTGAGAGTTTGCTACCTCTCAATAAACATTTTCTTAAAATGCTACAGTAATTTATCTTGTGTCAGATGCAGAATTTCCGTAATTAATAATTTTGTTCCATTAAAAAGGTGGGGTTTTTTAATAACTCTTGTAGATGGATGCATTTTTTACAAGCACAGAAAACAATATGATATTCTAATCTAAAATTCAACGCCTCATTATGTTTTCAAATATTAATATATTTGACACTAAATATTCTATTCATATATACCTCATGTTTTTAATTTTATTTTGAAATGATGAATTATTGATCTTTCTATTCACTGTCTTGCGTTTTCATCATATTATAATTAGACATGATATGCATTTCTAAAAAAGTAAGCAACGCTTCTTACTATTTTCCATTTGAATCTAATGCTAATTGTTGCCGATGAAAATCAATGTTGGGAATTTAAAAAAAAATAGTGAAATTTAGAGCAGAAGGATATTTCACCTTAACAAGGGCTGTCAATTAGATTTTACTAATACGTTACCTGCACAGGGGCAAGCTGCTGTGATATGAGCAGATAACTTCAGGATCATGCCAAACAGGGAGGCATGCGCTGAAGACGATATGTGACCATGTGCCATTTTCGTTAAAGCAGAAAATCGGCATGGTAATTCTAACGAAAGGCAGTGTAGAGCTGTAAGTAGTTTTGTTTTAAATGATAAGGGTGAGCTCGAGACCAAGCCTGAAGTGCTAAACGATAAATAACAGGAAATGATACATGGACGGGTGCGTTTCTAATATTTGTGCATGTTTTTATTCAAAGACATTCAGAAAACATGCAAAAGATGTTTATTATACCTGACGCAAGAAATTCCGGGTATAGCTTTGTGGAATTATGACGAGCAATCTAAGAGTAAGTCAAGCAATTGCAGATTGATATTGATCAAATTAAATGCGCTTGATTGTTGTGCCACTCGAGTCAGAATCTATTGCACCCACATTGCTGTCTGTTTTAATTTAAAATAGGGCATTTGTTTTAGTTAAAATAGGGGTCGTTGCAACACAGCCACCTGCAGATACGCGAACATTCTTTCTGATTGCAAAGGTAAACATCCAAAATAGGGTTGTTCAAAAAATGATAATTATAGTGCTTCAAGGACGTCTAACAGCATCCCGCAGTCCACAAAAAATAAGAAAAAAATGATTGGCAAACTCTTAAATTAACACATGAGCGTAAAGAAAGTTTCTTGTAAATTATTTAAATTTACAAAAAATGGTATAGCTTTTGAATGGTTTTCAATTCGGTTTACGTTTAGATAATCATGCTCCACGAATCCAAAAGGCACACAGTTTGCTTTCCTTTTATAATCATGCAGATGTAGTCTGAGAAATAGTGGGAAAGGAATTACTAAGAACGGATGTCCAGACCTTTTTATATGAAATATGTGGAGATAACGAACAGTATTCGAGCTCAAAAGTCCTTTAAACATTACAAAATAGGAGTAGAGCAAACACGGACCTCTAAGTCATCAGAGGTGGGATCAGGTGGGTGCTATGGAGGAGTGAGCATCCCCTGCCGACCGGCAGATAAAAATTGAAGCCTATAACAAATTTGTGCGTTTCGCAATTGTAGTGTTTACGAATACCCTACCTAGAATTCTGTTAATGACTCTATTGACGATGCGCTTTGCTTTGCTTATTACACAAATTCAACCAGGCAATCTGCATGTTCAACATTTTGGGAGCGGAGCGTTTTTACCAAATCGGATATTAAAAGTGCATTTAGATTATTGCACATAAGGCCGGATGATTTAGATTCTTGGTTTCATGATTTAGTTTCTTGGTTTCAAAGTTCGACGGACCGTTCACGGTAGCTCAGTCGGTAGAGCGCTCGCTCCGTGATCGGGAGGTCGTGAGTTCGAATCTCGGCCGCGACAGACCTAAGTCGATTAAAAATAGGTAGCAACTGTTCCTTCGCCATGCGCTCGGCACTTTGAAGTGAAAGTTGCGGGTCCTTCGGATGAGACCTTAAAAACCGAGGCCCCGTGTCACGGCAGGCGTTGGCACGATAAAGATCCCTCACTGCTCAATGGCCCTGAGTGCCGAGTAAAGGTCAAAATTTGAAGCCCTTCACCGGTATATGGTGACGTCTCTATATGAGTGAAAAATTCTCGAATGGGACGTAAAACAATATACAATCAATCAATCAAAGTTCGACGGCTATTATTATTTTGATAAGTGCCTATCCATTAGGTGTTCAATATCGGATATATAATTAGACAGATTAAATGACTATAGTCCAGATCTATCCTCACAACGTCAAGGATCCTTGAGTCAACACGTTTACTTTGGACTCCTGACTAACTTCATTCAATATTTTAAGGACTTACTGCACAGCATCTTTCGAGAAAATTAAGTCTTGATTGTTTTTTCTTATATCTCTATCAATCATATTAAGTCTTTCGGTGATAAACAACTTGTAACACGTGTATCTTAGGTGTCAACAGATTCCTTCCTGATTTCATTATCTGTCTATTTATGAAAGCTTCAATTCGATTGGTGTTTCTCAATGAGAGAAGCAAGCCCGAAGAAAACCAAACGAAGTTAGTCAGGGGTCCTACGGCAACGTGTTGACCCCTGACGTTGTGAGGTTCATATTTTGTACAAAAATACTCGGTTCGGGGGAGAAAGAGATCCAGGAAATAGTTTTAATGACACCTTGAAATCTTGTTAATTTTTTATCCGCACCAGTACCTTTAGTATATCACATATTAACGACGCTTGCAAATCTTTATTGATTTTGAAACCATCATCTTGGAGAATGAACTGTAAGAGAAACAAATGAACGCATAAAAAGCTGATTTTTAACATTCTAAATAGTTAATATATCTATAAATAGACGATGAACAGCATTTATATTCATTACCTTTAGTGTTCCTCTACTGCAGGCTTCCGTTATAATGTACCAATCTGCTGAGTCTTTCTGAGTCAATCCATAGAACTTCGTCAGGTTAATACAATTAACATTTCTAAGCTAAAATTTATTTGAGCAGATTTGAATTTGGTCTATATTAAAATGTACGGAAAAAGAAGCATGTGTCGACGAACTTTTTGGCTAGTCTTCGTACTAACTATTTTAATAAAAGTTCTTGAACAACATTCCGAAAGATTTATAAGTTATTATCGAAGAAATATACTTTGGGATTCAGAGACATGTTTCGGTGGATTTATATAAAGACATATAAACATTTTTAGTTCTTACATGGATGAATTCCATCTGTGTATCTCGAGTTGGTTGGAAATTCTTAATTACAGTTGGTGTGAGAGCAACTGCAGATCCCTGCAAAACCAACAGACTGATAAGTACTTGACTTAAAGTGTAGCAATTCTAATGAGTTAGTTAAGAATTGCCTTCATTATCAGAACCAATGCTAAAATGATTCCACCGAATTGCTGATTTGGTAGTTTGACATTTTAGGTGTCAAGTGTAAATCTGTTCAGAATTAAATTCGTTGTATTTAAATAAAATATTTAACTGTATACTTGCCTTATACATTTTGACCAAGCTTTCGAATTCTTTGACGTAGTTATTTTCAGAAAGAATATGAAGCTGTACAATAAACAGAATATGTGTTGAATGTAAAAGCACTGGACAAAGAAAACCTACAAAGCATAAATCGTGTATCAAATCTTTAAAACTATGATTACGGTACTTGCATATCTTAAAATATCTTCTTTATACATGCCTCATCAAGGTATACAATGAATATTTAATGGCGACAAATGCCAATCTAGAGATTTGACGTGGCTTACTATCATAATAAATTTCTGATTAACCTTAGATACTTTTGAATTCCGCAAAACGGATTGATTTCGTTCAGAATTCTTCTCTAATTCTTCCCATTCTATTTTCCACCAATTGCTTTGTAATTCCACACGTAGTCTTAGCTGTCTAAAATGATTTTTTTAAAGAAATGCGATTCAATGTTGTTGTATCTAAATAAATGCTTTGTAAAAATCCTTTAAAATTTTGCACATTGATAATGTTTTACATATAATCTTGTCCCGCCTGAAAAAAAAAAATATGCATGGTTCAAATATGATCACTTTTTAGAATAAAAAATTATGAGAACAAACTTTTAAAATCTTTTCAGGGTTGATTTTCATAAACATTTGATATAATATTATCAATTATTAAAAAAAAATACACTGTTTCAGTACAAAGTTTATGAACACGACTGCCATGTAATTTTTTTTTTCATTTCAAAGCCGAATAGTAAGGTGACAAACACTGTGTAATTTTAATACTATTATAGCTGCTTTGTTAGGTAAAAGTCATAACTAGTTAGATCCACACAAAAAATCAAAGGAAAAAATTATCAGAATTTAAATGTAATTTTTCTTTAAAATGAAAATATAAGGTTTATATTCATCAGATACACCCTCCCCCATTGGCCTGTGAATTATCTACTTTTATATTGATAAACATTCTTTGTTTTTACCTGTAAATCATTTTTCCTGCAGTCAGGAAAATTATTAGTATGGCACAAAAGACGATGGCCAGGACAATCAATAGATTAGATCCATCTAAAAATATAAAAGCTTAAATATATTATCGTTTATTAACAGCTTTATAATGGATTCACCTTTTAATCCAGTGCTTATTCAACATATTCATAAAAAGACATTCATTATTTTATATTTACTTTTCATGCACCCATTATGCACAGAAATGCACAGAAATATACACATTCAGTGATAGTTTTTACAGTATGCCAAGTATACTTATCATAAGCATTATACATGTATTTGGTCTAAAAACAAAAGTAAAATATATTCACCTTCTGGAAAACAGATCGGGTCATCACCCGTGAACCCACACCGTGGTCTATTCACTGGGGGTCCTTTGTCCATTGGCCACTTGATACTTCGATCTGACTCCATGCGCAATATGGCGTCAGCACCAGAGTAGACCCCAACTGTCTGTATTAAAAAATCCAGTGTTGAACAATACTGCTTCTACAAATGTTCTAAAATTGAATATAGTATAATCCGAAAGCAATAAGATAGTGAATTGTAAACAAAAATATGGTTCAGGTTAGCTTCAAGACTACTTATTAAGAGACTTAAATCACCAATTTCGACGTTTATAAAATGTATACTTGAATTTCACAACGAATTTGTTAAACAAAGATTTTATGAATATTTGTAAATAAATGACCTCAAATATCTGCAAGAGATGTCGTCTTGACGAATAGGTGAAACTTGCTTTTGTATCGCTTGAAACGTGTTTTAAATTCTATTCAAACTTGATTATATTCCTGTAAACTGTGCAATATGCCAATGTTTTTGTTTTGGGCCCATACTTAAAAATTAGTGGATGGACCTGTCGAGGACGCTAAAATGCAATTTGAATAACTAATTTTCCCTGTTCCCTTGAAATTTAAAATTCTCCGATTTTCAGAATGATTCCGTATATAACAGAATGATAGACTTTTGTTGTATACTGATTCTGTTTTTCGAAATATACGTTTTTCACATACCACGTTGCAAAGATGTCCTAAAAATTCGTGCAAAATGTCTTACCCAAAGTTTTCCCTGTGGATCGAAATCAAGAACTGATAGGTCTCTCTCTCCATCGCTGTTTTCGTTTATCCTAAACCTCCCCGCCATTAGTCCACTAAATGTTTTATTTCTCATCCTTTTCGTTACTAGTCGCCCATCGAATACATTCTCACCATTTTGAATCATATCTTTTATCACTTTGCCATAAATTAGGAAAGAGTCATGGTATCCCACTATGTAGTGATGTACCTAAGATACAAAGCAAAACAAAATTTTAGCTTACAGATTATTAAGGTCTTCCGTTCCAGACGGAAGACCTTATAGTGATTGTACTGTTTATTAAGGTCTTCCGTTCCAGACGGAAGACCTTATAGTGATTGTACTGTTTATTATTAAGGTCTTCCGTTCCAGACGGAAGACCTTATAGTGATTGTACTGTTTATTAAGGTCTTCCGTTCCAGACGGAAGACCTTATAGTGATTGTACTGTTTATTATTATTATTATTATTATTATTATTATTATTTTTTTCCCCTTTTTTTGTCGGCAGGATTTCTCAGAGATGACTGGATGGATTTTCCTGAAATTTTCAGGGTTGATAGAGAATGAAAATACCCCGAGGCGTTTTTTTCATTTTTTCAAAATTCACTTCCGGTCGTCAGATATGTCCGATTTCCGTTTTTTTCAAAAATATTTTTTCCGAGTGAGATCTCAGAAACGGTAAGAGATTAAGACACCAAACTTATACGAGTAATAGATCATGAGGAGTAGGCGAGCCCATTTGGGTTAAGCGTGTCAGCCGTCACTTCCGGTCGTCACAGGAAGTGATCAAAGAAATCGAAAATTTCAACTTTTCTTTTTTGAATTTTTTTTTGCATCACATTATTGCATCTCATGTGTAGTTTCGAAATATATCAGTCCCACCGGAAACAAAAACGACAACTTCCGGTTAGAAGAGGAAAACTACATAATTTGAGTATTTTACTTTCCCTTAAATATCTTTTATAGATAAAGTATTTAAAAAGATTTTTAGATATGTTATTCAGACTGTAAATGTCTAGAGTAACGTCAAAAATCTTAGTAAAATTCACTTCCGGTCGCGTGTTTTTCCTGTCCTCAAAATGAAAAGTAATCCCATCGAGATCTCGGAAACGGCATGAGATTAAGACACCAAACTTATAGGAGTAATAGACCTCGAGGAGTTGGCAAAACACATAGGGTTAGACGCGTCAGCCGTCACTTCCGGTCGTCACAGGAAGTGATCAAAAAATCGAAAATTTCAACTTTTCGTTATAAAATTAAAACTTGCATCACTTTGTTGCATCTCTATCGTGTTTTGAAATATGTTAGATTCCACCGGAAACAAAAACTGTAAACTTCCGGTTTAAAGAGATAAACTACGTTATTTCGATGTTAAGCTTTCTCATAAATATCACTTACAGATTTGAAATGTTTTTTTTATTTTTACATATCCTGTAGATACTACAAATGTCATGAGAAAAATTAAGAGATTTTTATTCAATTTACTTCCGGTCGTGTGTTTTCCTGTCCCAAAAATTAGAATGTGTTCTCAGAATTGCTTGGTAAGAGTAAAGGACTGAAGTCTAAAACTTTCAGGACTTATAGTCAGTCATCAGTTCATTTGCATCGTGTAAAAATCGTCTGTCGTCATTACTTCCGGTTGTGACAGGAAATGAAGCAAAAAAAGTATTTTTTTAAAGTTATTTTGTTTCTACATCAGTTTGAGGCTTATACCGACGTTGGAAAAGACATGTTCATGCAAACAGGAAGTAGTATAACGGAAGACCTTCTCATTACTAGTAATGAGTTTCTAGTTATTATTATTATTATTATTTTTTTCCCCTTTTTTTGTCGGCAGGATTTCTCGGAGATGGCTGGATGGATTTTCCTGAAATTTTCAGGGTTGATAGAGAATGAAAATACCCCGAGGCGTTTTTTTCATTTTTTCGAAATTTACTTCCGGTCGTCAGATATGTCCGATTTCCGTTTTTTTCAAAAATATTTTTTCCGAGTGAGATCTCAGAAACGGTAAGAGATAAAGACACCAAACTTATATGAGTAATAGATCTTGAGGAGTAGGCGAGCCCATTTTGGTTAAACGCGTCAGCCGTCACTTCCGGTCGTCACAGGAAGTGATCAAAGAAATCGAAATTTTCAACTTTTCTTTTTTGAATCTTTTTTTGCATCACTTAATTGCATCTTATTTGTAGTTTCAAAATATGTTGGTCCCACCGGAAACAAAAACGGCAACTTCCGGCTATAAGCGAAAAACTGCATAATTTGAGTATTTTACTTTCCCATAAATATTTTTTATAGATAAAGTATTTGAAATGATTTTTAGATATGTTATCAAGACTGTAAATGTCTAGAGTAACGTCAAATATCTTAATAAAATTCACTTCCGGTAGCGCGTTTGAATGTCCGTAAAATGAGAATTTGTCTGAGCCAGATCTCAGACACGGTAAGAGTTTAAGACACCAAACTTTTATGAGTAATAGATCTTGACGAGTAAGCAAAACCATTTGGGGCAAGAACGTCAGCCGTCACTTCCGGTCGTCACAGGAAGTGATCAAAGAAATAAAAAATTTCAACTTTTCGTTTTTGAATCTTTTTTTGCATCACTTAATTGCATCTTATTTGTCGTTTCGAAATATGTCAGTCCCACTGGAAACAAAAACGACAACTTCCGGTTATAAGAGAAAAACCACATAATTTGAGTATTATACTTTCCCATAAATATCTTTTATAGATAATTGATTTGAAATGATATTTAGATATTTTATTCAGACTGCAAATGTCTAGAGTAATTTTAGATATCTTTGTAAAATTCACTTCCGGTCGCGTGTTTTCTCGTCCTCAAAATGAAAAATTATTTCAGCGAAATCTCGGAAACAGTAAGAGATTTAGACACCAAACTTATAAGAATAATAGATCTTGAGGAGTAGACAAAACAGATATGGTTAAACGCGTCAACCGTCACTTCCGGTCGTCACAGGAAGTGATAAAAATTCAAAAATTTTAAGTTTTCTTTTTAAAATTAAAACTTGCATCACTTTATTGCAACTCTTTTGCTGTTTTCTGATATGTTAGATTTCACCGGAAACAAAAACCTAAGCTTCCGGTTTTATGAGATCAACTATGTTATTTCTATGTTTAACTGTCTCATAAATATCACTTAGAGATAAAGTATTTCAAATGTTTTTTTATATATGTTGTAGATACTACAAATGTCTAAAAGAATTTCAGAGATTTTTAAACAATTCATTTCCGGTCGCGTGTTTTCCTGTACTCAAAATTAGAATGTGTTCTCAAAATTGCTTGAAAACAGTAAAAGACTGAAGTCTAAAACTTTCAGGACTGATAGCCAATCATCAGTTCAAATGCATCGTGTAAAATCGTGTGTCGCCATTACTTCCGATCGTGACAGGAAGTGATACAAAAAAGTGAATTTTTTTGCAAGTTGTTTTCTTTCTACATTAGTTTTAGAATAATACCGAATTAGAAAGGACATGTCCAAGCAAATTATTTCCGCTAGAAGTACCGGCCAAAAAACCGCTAAAAACACTGTGTTACATAGGCGACTCCCAACAGGAAGTGGAATAACGGAAGACCTTCTCATTACTAGTAATGAGTTTCTAGTTATTATTATTATTATTATTATTATTATTTTCCCCTTTTTTTGTCGGCAGGATTTCTCAGAGATGACTGGATGGATTTTCCTGAAATTTTCAGGGTTGATAGAGAATGAAAATACCCCGAGGCGTTTTTTTCATTTTTTCAAAATTCACTTCCGGTCGTCAGATATGTCCGATTTCCGTTTTTTTCAAAAATATTTTTTCCGAGTGAGATCTCAGAAACGGTAAGAGATTAAGACACCAAACTTATACGAGTAATAGATCATGAGGAGTAGGCGAGCCCATTTGGGTTAAGCGTGTCAGCCGTCACTTCCGGTCGTCACAGGAAGTGATCAAAGAAATCGAAAATTTCAACTTTTCTTTTTTGAATTTTTTTTTGCATCACATTATTGCATCTCATGTGTAGTTTCGAAATATGTCAGTCCCACCGGAAACAAAAACGACAACTTCCGGTTATAAGAGGTAAACTACATAATTTGAGTAATTTACTTTCCCTTAAATATCTTTTATAGATAAAGTATTTGAAAAGATTTTTAGATATGTTATTCAGACTGCAAATGTCTAGAGTAACGTCAAAAATCTTAGTAAAATTCACTTCCGGTCGCGTGTTTTTCCTGTCCTCAAAATGAAAAGTTATCTGAGCGAGATCTCGGAAACGGCATGAGATTAAGACACCAAACTTAAATGAGTAATAGACCTTGAAGAGTAGGCAAAACACATAGGGTTAGACGCGTCAGCCGTCACTTCCGGTCGTCACAGGAAGTGATCAAAAAATCGAAAATTTCAACTTTTCTTTATAAAATTAAAACTTGCATCACTTTGTTGCATCTCTTTCGTGTTTTGAAATATGTTAGATTCCACCGGAAACAAAAACTGCAAACTTCCGGTTTAAAGAGATAAACTACGTTATTTCGATGTTTAGCCTTCTCATAAATATCACTTAAAGATAAGTATTTGAAATGTTTTTTTTATACATATGCTGTAGATACTACAAATGTCAAGAGAAAATTCAGAAATTTTTATTCAATTCACTTCCGGTCGTGTGTTTTCCTGTCCCAAAATTAGAATGTGTTCTCACAATTGCTCGGTAAGAGTAAAAGACTGAAGTCTAAAACTTTCAGGACTTATAGTCAGTCATCAGTTCATTTGCATCGTGTAAAAATCGTCTGTCGTCATTACTTCCGGTCGTGACAGGAAATGAAGAAAAAAGTAATTTTTTAAGTTATTTTGTTTCTACATCAGTTTTAGGCTGATACCGACGTTGGAAAAGACATGTTTATGCAAACAGGAAGTAGTATAACGGAAGACCTTCTCATTACTAGTAATGAGTTTCTAGTTATTATTATAATTTTTTTGACATTTTCTTTTGAGAAAATAATATACCATTTCTATTAATAAATTTAACTCACATCTGTTTTCTCAGTATCAAAATCATAATTATATTTGGTAATGGAATGATTCTTCACGGAGGCTTCAAATACTTTGATCTCGGGGCTCTCTGGGTTTTTCGGAAGTGCCACCAGTAGTACATTGAATGCTTTCTTTGCAATCTACAAATTCATATATGTGTAATTATTTTCCGAGAACGATGCTTCAAGAAGACATTTAACTTTATGTAATTTTAAATACATTGGAAAAATTTTTTATACTGCTGCCTATAAATTTGATGTATTACTCTTAAGAAACTTTTACTTGCCTCGTTCGTCTTTTGGTCCCCTGCCATATACCACAAGTCAGACAAAAAAGGTGAAAATGTTTTAAAGTATATAAAAACAAATTCACCATTCGTCATACCCAAATCATGAGCTTCCAACAGCAATCCTCGTATGCGTTGAAAGAAGCAGAGTAATATAATCACTAAAAATGTAAAGAATAGTTTCATTAAAAGGAAAAACATTAAATATAGGCAACTTGATATTAAAACATAATTTCCTGAAGTGCTCTTGCCTCTTGAAACTTTAGCTGCAGCTTTCAGAGCGTTTGTGAAACCGTAAACTTGAGTTTCACATAGAGTAACTCGAAGTCCATTTTCAGTAAAAAGCTGTAAAAGACTAGTACTTTGGAAATGAGTAATGGACAGTGTTTTTTCAAGGTAAGCATCTCGTATAATTGCAATATCCTTCCATTTGTATAATTGAAATAATTGCAGGTAAAACTGGCCAACCATATCAAATGAAAATGAAATTCTTGTTAGCGTTGGAAAGAACGTTTTGTTGTCGAATAAAGAGTTGATTCCGACGGGGGTGATAAGAGGAATATTCCAGTCAGCTGCCATTCTTCCTATCGCTTCAACACCTGTGCTGCAACCTGAGAAACAAATCACGAATTTCGCTGAAAGGATTATCGCATGAATTATCTTTATTGGGCCTATTATTATTATTAAAACAATGAGTTGTTATACAATAGCTTTTAGGTTTTTCTAAAATTAACGTTGCTTTGAAGAAGAAAAATATGTAATTACTTATGTGTATTTGATTTAAAATTTTACGAACAAAAGATTACCAGGTCCAATAAATACAGAGGTATTTTTAATAAAACGATGCTCTGCTCCGAGTGCGCCAAAGTCGTACTTGGTACAACTACCGATTTTGGACATGCTTCTGAGGAAGCGAACGGTCGCCAACCCCTCCAGCATTTCCTTTAGTTTTCTTTGGCCTAATTCTATCGCTTTTTCGCTTCTACCGATACTCCATGGACTTTCTGTTCCCTTCATCACGAAAACACCAATGTTGATTTCAGGTTTGTTGCAATATAAGACATGTAAATGGTATAAGAATACCAAGAATAAAAGTTGTTTTGGAAACATAGCTACGGTATATTTTTTTCTTCTTTCGAAGTCTGATTGGAAAAAAGAAAACTCCTCTTTAGACTTGTAGATTGCGTCCAAACTGCTAAAGGTACCTCAAGTAAAATCACTACAATTATATACCTTAATAACGGATAATTTTTATTTACTTATGTATGCTTTTTATTTAATTATGTACCATTTTTTTATCAGATCTTACATAATGTTAACCTCAAAAGGTGAAAAAAAGATGCGATCAAAGACTGGGTGTCTGTTTGTCTCTCATTAAATTTTAATTTATAAAATTTTAAAGATATCATAAATCAAACCAACTTTATTACAGTCAAAATTTGATTTTTTTTTTTAAAGCTTGATACATGTATAAACTGAAGAACAACGTAATTTAAAGTAATTTTAGGGCTTTCAAATGAAAATTTGTTTTAAGAACTTAAAAAGCGAATATTAATAAGCTTATATCAGATAAATTTGTTAAATATGCAGATTTTCTGTACATTTTAGGAAACTCTAAACACTAATGATTTTTTTTTTATTTTAAGAAAAGTATAATATAATTACTTAGCTGCAGAATTGTAGCTCTCTGGTTGTATAATACAAGGAATAATAGCCGAAGTGTGTAGAAAAAAACGTATCCGTAAATCGAAGGGTTTTTTTTCAATGCATGGATCTGTAGCTCTCTGGTTTTTATGTCCGAATTTTCTCAACCAGAGAGCTACAGTTCTGCAGCTAATAAATACTAAGTTTATCTAGTTCATTTTCAACATGGGGTACCTTCTCCAAAAAAAATGTACAAACACATGGAAGTATTAGTGAAAAGAGACCCCTGTTGTTTACGTTCATTGGGAAAATAAATGCAAATAATGTTTTCAATTACTGTATCTTTGTCTAATATGATGTTAAAATATTTTATTCTATTTCAGATAGGGTCTTTTACTCTAGATTTCCGTTTATTCCATTTACATTAAAGGGCAGATAACTCTAACTGTATAAAACTACCATGGATTTTAAACACTTTAGTGAGCAGTGTTTAGAGATTCCTGAAGCAGCTTTCTTTTTTCATTATGACTGTAAAATGTTTACATAATATTTTAACAAATTCTCTTCTTTTTTTTTAATTTTCTTAATACAGCCACAAATGTCTTTCTAATCAACTTTCTGAAATTTCTTGCATGAAAGCAACAAATGAAATAGTATTAAAAAATGTGGAGAAAAAAAAATTAAAACCTGGGTCAGGTTTCAAAGTAGCTGGCTCTCATCAGCCATGTATCTAAAATCACTTGACAATAATTTAGTGTTTCGGCAGTGTGATACGAGGTTTATGATTTTAATAGTTTATTAATTAGCTGGAAATCCGCCATCTTCAGGAGCCTACTTGCACATCTGTTGTACTATCTTTGTTAAACTATCAAAGTCATAAATTTCGTATATATCACACTTCCGAAACACTTCTATTCTTTTTTTTTCATGGTATGTGAATAATTTTGAAACTGAGTTCATAAAAATGGAATTGTTCCAGTACTTCAAGAATTATATTTCTTTACTTTGATGTATACAGATGATATGGTCTGTTTTGCTACATCTATACAACAACTACAATAATATTTTATGCTAGTGAAATTATTTTTAATTAAATTTCATGTGTTTTATGTAGGAATGTCAATTTTGACAATAATTCATATTCGAATATTCAATGAAAGTATTCGAATATATTCGAATATTTGATAAAATAAATAAAACATGGTTTATTTGAAATGCACATCATCATACTCTCATGGCAGGTTTTGCGTCGGTTTTTGGAAGTAAAATTGGATGTAGACTTTTGAAGATATGCAGTAAGGAATTCTACATTTGTCATGTTTAAAATAAATAATTGATTTAAGTGTATACAACCGAATTATAATTTTAACAAATGATATCTATACAAGCCCAAACTGACGAACCAGTCGTCTAACCAGGGGCAAGGTTGTCGTTTACTCTTCAGATTTAAATACAAGTAATTAATTACAATTACCTGCTTAATAAGAGATATAAAATAATCTTTGATACAATGATATTTTTTTTTTTTTTTGAATTACCCACCTCCATCTCCAGTCATGCCTTTAATGTATATTACGCCACCTCAGGTTCAGAAGATTATACGTTTTCTTTTTAATTAAATTTCTTTGTATATGTATATATATATTGTGTTTTCATATTCCTTTTAAAGCCGAATTATGTCGTTTTTAAGCCAATTCATATGTATTTGCTAGGCCATATTGCGGCTATATTTTTGAGGCCACCTATTATGCCAATTTATATATGTTATATAATAGTCACAAATGGGAGGTCAATTCTTTATTAAATATTGTTCACAATTTTTTCTCAGGTGTTGTAATGTTACATGGTCTCCTATTTTTTTTTAATCAGTTTTATGTATTATATTATATGTTGTTATTTCATAATAAAAGACATTGTTGGAACAAAATATATCTTTTTCTATTTGGCGAAAAAAAGCTCAATGTAGTCAGAGGAGAGTTTAATCTTAGGAAAGAAAGCTGAATTTAAATGTTAAATACTTTGTGTGAATATGTCTCAAAATGGGGTGTGGCCATTAATGTTGAGAAAACTTAAATTGTTGTTTTTTTAGAAATGGGGGGGGGGGGGGGAAATACATGATGAAAAGTGGCAGGACACAATGAAAAAATAGAAAATATAGGAAAATTTACATACCTCAGTGTTTTACTAAATTACAATGGAAATTATAACGTAACGCAAAAACAGTTGGCTAGTCAAGTTAGAAATATGTCAGTAGCATACTGAACTAGTTTTAATTGTAACGGAGACCGTTACTGTTCCCCAGCGCTCCCCAACTGTCTTTTAGTGCCCTATTCCCTATAAGCTTCATTTATAAGGCAAAATCTCTGTTTTATGGATTTATTCTTGTTCTAAGTATGTAGGTAGTAGAATAATGCGCATATATAGCAAGAATAGCATAAGCTAATCTGATTTCAATGCATGTGCATGAAGGTGATTTCAATAATTCCCAAATTCACAATCTTTGCCTATACGCTTATATCAAGTATAATGGTCATTTCACCCATTGCACACGCGTGCAAACATGGGGATGATGACCATGTCGTCTTGTCTACACGTATAATATATCATTATATTCCGAGTATCGAAGTATTTCATCAAATATATATAAGTTACGGCTTTATTAAATATTTGGTCATTTAACAAATTGCCAATGTCATCTTGTCTACACTTTTAATATATCTTTATATTCTGAGTATCAAAGCATTTCATCAAAAAATGTAAAGATTACGGCTATATCAAGTATATTGGTCATTTCACTCGTTGCGAGCGCGAGCATGTGCATGAATGGGCCTGATGACCATGTCGTCATGTCTACACTTTTAATATATCTTTATATTCTGAATATCGAAGCATTTCATCAAAAAGTATGAAAGTTACGGCTATATCAAGTATATTGGTCATTTTTCACATTTCACGCACACGCACATGAATGCACGCAAAATGACCTTCGTTCCACACATCTACATAAAATGCCTATTAACCCTAAAAAGTTTCACCTCAATCGGATGAGTAGTTTACAGAAATTGATAATGTAAATAAGATATTTCAAGCTTGAAATTAACCATAAATTGGTGCATTTTGCCTGTTACCAGTTTGCTCACAGGATTTTTGTTTATTAGGCTTTAAACATTCTGGTGTATATTGCATCGACAAATGCTTACCTATGGGTTGTTTATTGTCATGTTCTTTATTTGAGAAATTATCTACATTCCTTCACTGTGAATTATCTAAATTGGGATGTATATAGATGATTTTTTTGTTTGAAGGTAGGGCTAATTCATCTCAGTGTGTGGATTTAATGAGGCAGTTTCAAGGGATATTTTTAGATTCAGGCATTCCTTTAGCTTTTTTAAGAAAACAAGGGGCCTTCTACTCGTTTGAGTTTCTAAGGTTTAGGTATTGATACTATTTCCAGAACTATGTTTGTTTCAAATGATAAAGTTAGGGAGTTAATAGCAAAAATAGATGTAGCAGTCAAGTCGAAGAAGGTTACTTTGAAAGATGTGCAGTCATTGGCAGGAGCACTTGCATTTGTGGTTAAAGCATTGCCAGCAGGCATTTTGTACAAGGATTTATGGCTCAATGGCAGGAGTCAAAAAATCTTTTCATTTTGTAAGAGTAACAACAGAAATTTTTGAATTATTAATGTGAGTTTAATTCCTTAGCGATTTTAATGACAGGGCACAATTGTCTTAGTCTTGTATGGCAGGAAGATGATGTACTCCATTTTTATTCGGATGGTTCAAGTTCTCATGGTTGTGGTGTGGTATTTGGTAAACATTGGTGTTACCTGCATTAGCTTGTTGGTTTGCCAGAGAAATTGTACAGGGATATTACATTCTTAGAACTTGTACCTATTGTATTAGGGGTTACGATCTGAGCTGAAAGTTAAAGGAATACAAAAAACTCCCTCTTCATATTGATAATTTAACTTTGGTCTACATCATTAATCGCAAATCTTCTAAAAACAAGAGAAATATGACACTGGTCCGGATGTTAGTTCTGCAGACTCTTAGGTTTAATGAACAAATAAAAGCTTAACATATACCTGGTATAAAAAATGAAATTGCAGTTGCTATTTCTCGGTTTCAGTGGAAGAGGTTTCGTCAGTTAGATCCTTAGGCAGATCCCTATCCCTTCATGGTACATATTCAGTTTTGGAGAACTATTCAGGAACTGAAGCCAGTCCTCTTCAGGCTAGTGTATCTCAAAATACAGCTAGCGTTTACCGTCAGAGATTGCAAAGTTTTTTTAAACTTTAGGTAACAGTTATCATTTCAGCAGATATGGCCCCTCCTGTTGATCACGTTATGAATTTTATAGCTTATCTATCAGAGAGTGATCTGGCTATTTCTACTGTTAAATGCTATTTATCAGGAATCAGTTTTGTCATCAATTTACATGGCTGACAGAATCCAGTTGATTCATTTATTATTAAGAAGTTATTTGCTGGTTACAAGAGATCTAATGTGTCTTAGGATATGAGAAAACCCATTACATTACCTATGCTGAATAACATTTTCAGCGTTTTGCCACATTTGTGTTTTTCTGATTTTGAAGCGGTTTTATCTTAGTTTGCTTTTACATTAGCTTTCTTTGCGTTACTTAGGGCGAGAGAAGTGGTGACTTTGCGTATCAAGCATGTTACTGTCTCTAGTGATGCTATTGAAGTTTTTGGAAAAAATCAAATGATACATGATTGTATCAATCTATGCAAAAGTTTGCTACATTAAGTACCGGTTTTAAAAGGGTGTCCTACTTTTCACATTTTAACTCCAAACCTTTAACCCAATTCCAGTTTTCGTCCATGTTAAACAAAGCTTTGCAGTTCTTGAATATTCAGTCGACTGAATTTAAGACACACACGTTTCGCATTGGGATTCAACCCAGTTGTATCGGAGAGGGTTTTCAGAAGAATATATTAAGAGGATGGGAAAGTGGCAATCAGCAGCTTACAAATCTTAGATTAGACCATTGTCCTTATAAATTTACATTCTGTTCAATATTGTTTAATGAAACAAAAGTTGCAATTCTTAATATTTTGGTGTTAAACTTGCTCATCAATTAATTTTTTTTTGTTTAGATTTCATTTGGATCATAGGTTCGTCAATTATTCATTGGGCTTACGTATATGCAAAGAATTCGAATCAAGATCACCTTGGTCAATAATCATCGAACATCTTGTGGCATGGAATTCGTGGTATGGTTTGGGAGCAGTTATATCCCAAAATTGAATTTTTGTTAGCTCGTAACAAGGCACCAAAGATTATTATTGTCCATTGTGGCGGCAACAGTATTGGTCAGGCTCACAGTACATTAAGAGGCCTTCAAAATTTTTTCAAGGCAACTTTAGCAAATATTGCTCATTTACTCCTAAAAACTTGTATTATATGGTCACATATTTTGCCTCGATTTAATTGGATCAATTGCCTTGCAAACACTGAAGGACAAAAATGTAGACTTAGTGTTTGTGCTACGTTTGAGGTAAATAAGTTTCAGGGTCGTGGCATCAATCAGTTATCCAGATACTAGCGCTCTACAGAAGGATTTGTTCAGAAAAGATAGAGTTCATTTGTTGGACGTGGGCAATAATATTTTTATCAAAACTTTGCTCTAGATCACTTCATTTGTTGTAATTTTGTTTCGCCAATATTTCCTTGATGCTTGTCATGAGCAATTGTGTGCGAGTTGCACTTTTGTCATTTCAATGCAATTTATTTTCATTTCAAAATTTCAATCTTAGGTGCGATTTGCGCCTTTCAGTAATTTGATTATTTGTTCAATTTAAACCTAATTTATGCACAATTTGTGCTTTTATCGTTACATGTACCTTGGGCTGCAAAATTGCCGCCCCAATTTTAGTTTGTGGCGGATGGGTAATGTGACCCTGTCCCTTGACCCATTTGGCATAATTTTGCCAAGAATACTGTCTCCTGGGGTACTGTTTTTCCAGGCTCCTTGGATCAAGATGGTATTCCTCTTGCTTATTATCTGTATTCATTTACCTATTATCATCATCGGAGCATACATTGTGCTATATCCAATATATTATTAAATGGCGATGAAAAGCACACCAAAACACGTTAAGACTTGTTTTTTTTTATTCAAAGTTATTAACAGACATCTTTAACCTTTTAAAGAGTGAATCTGATCAAGTTTGTTTCTGTTGTTGTCTAGGTAAAGGGTGTCACCAAATAACCAATGATATTTTACTTTAGAAAAAGTTATCATTAACAATGGTTGTCAAAGATGGAAAGAAGAGAGCCATCAACTTCTCAAAAGAGAATTGCAATTTTTTTTAAAGTATTCGATAATCATAGCATGTTTTTTAAGATTTTCTAACTCGTACATACAATCATACAATCTACACCTCGTGTAGCGACAATAAAAAAAATAAAGGAGCGGATCGAGGATCTGATTTTAATCAGATTGCTCGTACATATAATTATGCATTATCATTTTACAAATCATTCAGATCATAATCATTCATTCATCAACTGAATGCTATCTGCACAATCTGTCTGTAATCAAAGAATAATGTTTTGCATTGTTATATTGCACGTTAACAAAACTAACTTTAATTTTTGATAGAAGTAATTTGCATAGTTATCTTGCATGTCAACACAATCAGTAAAAAATACACTTTATTTAGGAGTCAAAAAAGATCACCATATCAGAATGTTTTTCATTTGTGTCTGACATGCGAGTACAGGAATTAAATAAAGTATCATGTACAATCATTCTCCTCCTTGCTTCGACGTTTGTCTACAGATCAAAGTCTATTTTATAATTTTACAAGGTTTTTAATTGGATTTGGTAAACATGAAATATTTCTTGAGATATATTACTACACCCTCAGCCTCTGTATTGTTATGTGTAACGTTCAAAAATATCAGTATCTCGAAAACAGATTGCAAACTTGGATAACATTTTTGAAAACATAGACATTCCAAGATTAGAATTGTGGAGATTTTAATTACACCTTTCTTGACAAAGGTATTGTATATTAGCTTTATTTGGATCTCGTTTAATTAATTACATGTTTGTAGTATATGTACATTTTCTTTCACATACACTCAAGAATTTATGTCAGGAAGAAGGTCGTGGGAAAAACCTCTCACATAAATCTTTATCATTCAATAAGCCCAACAAAGAAATGCCTAATTATAGACTATTTACTGTCAATATGTTTAAAAATGGGAATTGAATGGGGAAAGTGTAAGAAAATAAAAGAGTGGGCATAATTTATTGTTGCAGAAAGCTTATAATAAGGTAGTGACATAGATAAGATTATTCCCAGTATCAGGCTGAGAAAGTACCACTCTATAAAAAAGTGACATTTTTTTCGATAGTTGAATACAATAAGAGCTTCATAGTGCAAGTAGGAATGCAGACTGCAAATCTTATTTCTGAATACAGAAATAAATCCTACGTAAAGTGAAGAGCTTATCGGTACTTGAAATTATTGCAAAATAAATAAAGTTATTTTAAACCATAAATGTAATTTTTAACTATTTACTTTCCTTTTTCAAGGATCTTCTTAGTAGCAGGTTCAGGTAGACATCCCACCAATACCCTCATTCGCAAAAGTATCAGTACATCACACAGTAAGTCAAATGCTTTACTTTCACAAGTTTTGGGTGTAGAAAAGGAAACACATTTTTCGAAAGTGGTCATTTGACTTATTCCCTCTAATGACTGTCCCGCTTAAGTCATTTCCGCCCAGGTCATCTCTATCCTAGACCATGGCCTTCTTTTACCTAGGTCACTTCACCCTACAACCTAGATTTTCTTCACTCCACATATGAAAATTTGAACGTATTTCGAAATACAGACGAATGTAGATTTTGTTGTTACATCGTGAAATAAATCATTTATGGCTTTACACTGAGAGTGTCCTTTCAGCTTCGGTTACCCTAAATGATCTCAATTATATCTTCGCTCGTCATATTTTTTAGCCGGAAAACTTTTAATTGTATTCTTTAACTTTTTATTTTTATGGTTTTTAATAATTGAACATTATACTAGGTTACTTTATATTATTATTATTCGATGTCCAAATCTGTATACGTTGGTTGGTTGGTTATCCATTTCACTAAAAATAGCTATAAATCGTTCCAACATCAAAACATTTTACATAGAAAGTTTAAAGATGAGATAAGGTCTAAGAATATTTTTAAAATATGTGTAAGAATTCAAATGCATAAATTACAGGCTCCTGTGAAAATTGCGAGAGATTGCAGCATCGTTTGTGTTAAATGAGTAAGATTAATAAATAAAAGTTTTTGAATATAAAGGAAGAAGAAAAAAGTATCCATATAATATACACATGAAATAAGTTGAGTTAAATAAAACAACCTTATAAGATATTCCACAATTTTATTTGTAAACCCAAATTTTTAATAATTAGGTCAAATTTTTATTATCTTTAACTCATAGCTCATCCTTCCTTGCCATCAGCCAATACGTTGTCATCTTTCCTTTTCCCTGTAAAAACATAAGATTTTTCTATGTTCCTTGCAACAAATAAGATTTGATTACAAATCAAAACAATAAATAGAAAATCATTCTACATTTTAAAAACTCTTGGTTTAAAACTATAACACAGACATATATTATCAAAGAAGTGTAGATGACTATACATATAAAATATAATTAGTTTGGGTCTTATCAATCAGTGACTTTTGCTTGTGCAAAACTCAGCGAAAATAAGGGTTGTTTGGAAAACATTTAAGTAAGCGAGAAACAATCGTGCTTTGTATTTCTTCTCACCTTTATTGCAATGGATCCTCGTTCAATTAACAAAAACGAATCATGGGATACCAAGAGATTTCGTGTTGCCAAACTAACGTGGATTTTCATGGCTTCAATGTACAAAGAACTCATTTAAATTTCAAAGTCCTTTATATATCCATCTCAAAATTTTACGAGGCATTCCCGTTGATTTGAGAAATGATAGATACGCTATTTTATGTGAATTTTCGACATACTGACCACTAAACGTTTCCTGAATAGAACATTTTGATATGCTGGGAAAGAAATTTAGTAAAACTGAAGTAGAAGCATGGTCTTTAAACATTTCTAACGTACAGATGTAGAATTTTTAATATTGATACTTATAGTTTTTCACTGTTTGAAATCAAATCATTTGTATGCAAATAATGCAATTTAAAAAGAAGATTTCGTATATGTTCTAACCTTCCCCGTTAGATTCCATCCTTGATGCTGTATTGACAGTATCTCCAAACAAACAGTAACGGGGCATTTGTTTTCCTACCACTCCAGCACATACAGGACCTGAGCAGGACATCAAAGAATAAATTGCGAATATTTATAAAGGTAAATTTACCCTCTGATACAACAGATAACATTCACTGCTTAGGATAAATGATAAATAATTATTCCTTTATGAAATTGTTAATGTAAAAGACTATTTCTTAAAACTTTTGCCAGATCAGGTATACTGAAATTTTGCATTTAAATTAGATTTCTTTTGGATTATTGTGAGCCTCCAGAAAAAATTAAAAACGAGTAAACATAGCAATACTGAACCTTAATTTATATTTCCGTTAATTTTCACTCTTTTAATCTTTAAATCAGATAAAAGTTCACCTGAATGAATACCAATCCGTGCTTGGAGACTTATGTCTGGTAAATGCCGGATTCGGAATTCCTTCACATTGTTCAAGATAGCCACCGACATTTTAGCTATCTCAGTCACGTGCTCGTTCCCATTGCGCAGAGGAAGACCGGAAGCAACCATGTAAGCATCTCCAATAGTTTCCACCTCCAAAAAAGTTTTTTACATTAACAATCATGAATGAAAAATTATCCAATAAGTTACGCGTGAAATGAATTTAAGACCTACCTTATAAACATCAAAGTTCTCTATGACTGTGTCAAAGCACGTATACAAATCGTTGAGCAAGTCTACCACCTTTATGAAGATTAAACCCATTTAATGCTTGAATACATATACAAAATGAATAGAAAAAAATATTTCATTATTAAAACAGTGTAATCTAGTTTAGGACAATTTAGTTTATTATTTTTTAATGAATCTATCATTAAAGTAAGGTTCTTAAGTAAGAACTCCAATCCAAAAGACAATGTGTATATATTTAAAAATAATCGGGACTTTTTCAATAACCGCATGAAAAAAACCCTTACCTGCATGGGGGTGCTTTCTGCAGAAATTGAAGTGAAACCCACTATGTCACTAAAGTAAATCGTGACACATTGGTATGCTTCAGCTTCTATTTTGTTCCCACGTATTAAGTCACGTGCTATGCTCCTTGAGTAAAAAAAAAACGTTAAGCTCAAAATACTCGCTTTAACGCGAGGCAAACTATGTTTTAAAGAGAAACTATCAAAAAAGTCAATCTACCTGGGTAACACCTGATAAAGAAGCTCTTCTGATCTTCTTTTTTCGTCCAAGAAAGCATGCATTTTCTCCTCGGCAGCATTTTCTAGATTATTAGCATATTCATCCATACGGGAGAGTAGGTTGTCAAGAAAGTTTTCCCCTAATGTCCCCCTTGTAATATTATATGATGAATGACAATGAAGGCTTGTATTTCAAAATGATTTAAATTTTTCTTTAATTTTTAAGTGCTTTTCTACATATGAATATTATTGATAGTAAAATTTGGTTCTCGCATTGGGCATCATGTTATTGGATGCTCAAATTATTTTATTTTATTTTTACTGATACGTGAGACTAATTTTTATCTTAAGAAAGAAAGTAAATTTAGTTATTTTAATTTTATTGAGAAATATATTTTATAGATACTTGCCATTTCATCTGCTTGGACTCTTTTGCTATACTTTGAAATGTTGGCCTGTTTTCTACATTTTCCTCCAAGCACGAAGACATCATGGATAGGAGTGAATTCTCATCCTCTGGTTTATCTTCAAGGCCTGGTCTGAATGGTGTTTTGGATGGAAACTTGATCTTGTCGATGATATCTGAGAATTTGATTTTCGGAAAACACTGAACAGTTATTGCTCATATATGACCTCATGACACTTTCCTTTTAGTTCTAAATAAAATTCTAAATAAATGTTTATAAATAAAAGAACACCTTCAGATGAGTGTATGATGTTAAAACACGCTATGGTATTGCCTTATTAAATCATAATCTTTATATAATAAAATACTGAGATAACGGACAGTATTCATGTTCAAAGTCCATTTAAACAATACAAATCGGGAGCAGAACAAACACGGACATCCAAAAAAATCAGAGGTGGGATCAGGTGCCAAGGAGGATTGAGCTCCCCCTCCCGACCGGTCACACCCGCCGTGCGCTCCTTATCATGATCGAGAAAAACGGAAAAATCCGTGGACAATTTAGTGTATATAAATAATGATTATTTCATAAAGGTTACCAATAAAATCTTTTTCGAGTAAAATATCCAAATGTGAAACAGATGTGTCAGACTCTGATGTATCTTTTATTTCAAGCTCACTGGGATATATCGAGTCGACATATGAATCGAAGTAACTATTGTTAATTGATAATACATCGTCGATACATCTTTTTTTTTCTTTGTTTGTTTTTTAACGTCCCTCTCCAGCATTTTTCACTCATATGGAGACGCATTTTTTTTTTATCTATACTCGGCACCTAGGGCCATTGAGCAATGAGGGATTTTTTTCGTGCCAGAACTTACTGCGACACGGGACCGAGGTTTATACGGTCTCATCCGAAGGACCGGTCTCCAAGTCCCACAGTGGGATTCGAACCCGCGACGTAAGGATCAACTCCTTACTTCGCGACTCTAGAGCGAACGCTCTAACCACTGCGCCACGCGGGCGACTTGTCGATATATCTAATGTCGAGTTGAAGCCCACACCAAGTGTTTTCTTCATCTTGTGTAGAAGATTTGAATAAATTATGCTTCATATGAATACAAAAATAGGTCTGCTAATTAGGGGCCGCAATTGGTACCCATGGGTATTCCAACAGATTGTTGGAAGACCTGGTCTCCAAAAATTACAAAGATATCGTCAATCAGAAACTCAGGCATCTTTTTAATATCAACTTCAGAGTACTTGTCTGTACAATCTGAGTGTTTTTTAACAAAAGAATTTTGCAAATGACCAATGACAATATTAGTATATTTAAGAGCGAGTTCGATTTTTATTGAAAAAGTAGCTGTCGATGGTGTCTAAAAGTCTGGACTTTAATTTATCGTGAGGAATGGTTGTATAAAGTGTTGAAAAGTAGTACGTTTTGATGTTGATTTTGGTAAAATTTTGTGATCTCAAGTTTTCTAAAAGTTCCTTTGAGTTCTTAAGTATCCACATCTGATTTACATCACTTCTCGAATATACTGTTGCACAGTACTCCTGAAGTTTCTCCTTAACTGCTATAAATATTCTAGTGAAGAGTAAAGAAAGAGGCTTGGTAGATCATTTAATGGAACCCGCTATGTATCTTTGTTTGTAAGGATTTTTATGGAGTTTTGGAATTCAGTATAGGTATGGTAATTCAAATTCATTTTGGTTGTTGGGAATATTAAAAATATTTAAAACTGACTTATGATTTTGAAGAATTTCCTCCTTAGAAAGGGAGTGATGGGTATAAGTTGAATTACCACTTGCAGAATTAAATCCTAATTCCTCTAAAATACAATTCAAATAATCAGCCTTACAAACGAAGACAATGTTGTTACCTGCTTTATGAGCAGGAATTAGTACATACTGATCGTGTAATCTATCTAATTCTTGTTTCAGTTCTGGATTGTTGAAGACAGAAGAATAGATGGTTTTCATATTGCCAATTAATCGCTTTATGTGAGATTTCAACATACATCTGATACATTTAATCCACTCTGACAAAGTGTCAAGGTCTTCTTTTTCATGTTTGGTCCATCGCCTGCCGTAATCTTCTACTGAATTCATAATATTTATGAAATTATGATTCCAGTTGAAAGATGGGGGTTCCCTAAACTTGACCTCTTATAATAAGTGATTTAAGGTCCTCATTATTAACTACATTTACGTCTACAGTATTGTTATGTCCAGCAGAACTATAGTTATAGGGTGAAGAAGAACATCAACACGTTGAAGGATTGTTACAGATACCTAAAATCTAGACACATTAAAGTTTTTTTTATAGTTAAAAAGTTTGGAAGCAATAGTCGATGTATATTTGTAAGAAATACAAGTTGTGGACTTCAACTTGAAATATGGTGGAATGCAAGACTGGACCTGTTTTACGATTAAGAATATTACTTATATTAACTGTGTGAATTCCTTTCTTAGTTTATTGAAGTTTAAGGAACAAACAGGTTGTTTGAGCGGTATTTTCTTCCGCAAAATGTGGCGGTTTAAAGAGCCTATAATTTGCAGTATCCATAATTACAGATTAGAGCCTGTATTCTGGTGTCGAAGAATTCAAATATGGACTTTCCTTGACTTTTACAATAAACTATTGAAAACTTTAAAAGTAACAGAGTAAAGTTTGGTGCGAATGTGATGAAGGCCCAACTGTTTATATACATAAGGTAGTACTGAATCAAAGGACATCGTGGATAATAGGTTTATTGTAAGACCGATGACCATGACTACGCTTACGTCTCTGGGTACTCTTAAAAAGTCTCATCACATTCACATTGCTACAACATATGTACCTTCTATGGAGCAAAATTTCATCTCGTCTTCAAAAGGTTCTTTTCTAGTTATTATTTCGTACACAATCATTCCAAAACTGTATACGTCAGCGGACTGTTGTACTGGGATAAGCATATTTCTCAATAGTTCTGGTGCGAAGTAAAGAAGATCTAAAATTAAAAATTTTAAGTGAAACTATTTATAATACTAAAAAATATATTCTCATTTTTAACTTCTTTTTCTTTAGAAGAAATGCAAAACAAAGGGTTTTTAAAAGTTTATTTAATAATATTTGTTTTATGGAATAAAACATTCATCATGATATTGAATATCTTAGATCTATTATAAGCCAGGTAGTTATATACATACAATATACTATGTATGGCCATAAGTGAGTCATATTTTCATCTTAACATTAAATATTTCATGAAAAATTATTTTTATCCAGTTTATCATGAGATCAGTTTTCGCCAAATATCCTTTTTTTGCCTCGGCCCTAAAATGGCCGGGGCATATAGTGTTGCCCTGTTCTTTCATTCTGTCATTCCTTCATCATTGACTTTCCATTCATTATCTCGGCAACAGTTACGCACATTTAACTCAAATTTATCGTATGGATACGTCATAGGAATACGCAGGTCAAGTTCAAATCTGGTCGTTATCCAATGATTTTTGACAGACTTATCCCTCTTGAACTTAGAAAAATAGGAATTTTTCAGTTTCCGCTCTCTTACTTTTGTAGGGATGTATGTATAAGATTGAAATTGCATATGCAGGTATTTTACCAAGAAATACAGATCAAGCTAGAATTTGGTCGTGGTCCGATGATTTTTGAGATAAATTACCATGTTGTGACGCAGTGTCTTAAAAAATATAGGCATCGATGTATAGCGCCACCCTAATAAGGTTAACATTGTATAGGTTTTATCTTAATTATTCCCTTTGAACCTAGAAAAAAATCTTTTGTGCAACCAAATTTAAAACTAAGTATGGCTTTTGAAATTTTGGCTGCCTCCGGGGGCATTCGTGGCGTTACGACACTTCTAGTTTTTTTTAATTTTTTTATATTTATTTTGTCTCAAGATTCTAAGCAAAACGATCAAATGTTCATTAAGAATGATTTTTAAAATCATCAAAGCAAAATCTTGGACTTCAAATAACTACGATGTTGTCACAAATTTGAGACGTATTTTTTTTTTATTTCGCATTTTACGTGCGATATGACAAAGGCCCCTACAGGTGATTTTTTTTTTATCATTATGTGAGGAAACTGCACAAAATCATTTATTTCATGATGTTATACTTTTTTAAAAAATAGCCACAAATAAAGTTGCAATAAGTTTTTTAAAGGAATTTTACAATAAAATATATAGTTAAAAAATATATAATTATGACTCACTTATGATTAGGTAACGTACATGTGATAAATACTAATGGAATATTGCAATTGAATGAAATATTGCCATGTATGATGCGTTATATTTTATTTGAAATAGTATTTGAGAGCAATGGCAATAAATTTACCAATTAAAGGCAATCAGGTTACCTTGTATGTCGGTTTTCAGAATTTTACTTCGAATCGATGGAAGTCCAAACCCATCTATTTTAAGAACAAATCGTCTATCAATCAAACAATTCTGACTGTTCAAATTTCCATGGACACCAATAGGACATTTGTGGAGATAACAACATCCCTGAAAATATTTATAGTTTATCCATAAAGGCACTGTGTGATGTTATACATAGGTTATCCATAAAGGTACTGTGTTGCCTTATACTTATGGTATGGCGAATAGAGAGAATGTATATTTATTTATCTCGTTCAAAATATTCAGTCAGGAGGATTATTTAGGACATATGTTTTTATGACAGCAGTTTTTGCTAAGGCATAAAAAATCTCATTTGATTTTGAAAAAAAACTTCATTTTTTTTCTCTTATATAGACCATATCAATTAAAAAACAGGATTTTAATTGCTAAATTTATTTTTTAAAAATCCTGAATTTATATCAGATCTGATCTGTAAAAGAAAGCTGAATCTCTTAAAGAATGTCAGCAACCTTGCAAAAAATGTCCTCTCGCATTGTGTAGATTACATTTGAAAAATCAATTAAAGAAGTATTATGATATCATCCTAGAAGGAGAAGATAACGAACACTAATCAATTTCATAAATCCAGAAAACAAAACAAATCGTGAACAGGTAAAAAACACGGACCCCTGAAAACACTAGAGGTGGGGTCAAGTGCCTTGGAGGAGTAGGCATCCCCTGTTGACTGATCACACTTGATGTGTGCCCAATGTTTTCATCAGGCACTCTGTAGTCAAATTTAGTATAAAAGCAATGACCTAACACAAATTGTATGAAAAATATACCAATTATATACGACCCAACGATAGGTTGTATTTACAAAAATAGATCATTAAAACGACATACTAGTAGATGAAATCCTTGTAACATCAAATTATTTTATAAACATTAGATACGTCAATGAAGCTTCACTGACAAACGCAATCTAGCGCCAAACTGTATTTCTTTCTTAAATTCGTGATAATAAATGTGCGCAGTTTCTGTTTAAAAGTTCCAAAGCAACGAAACATGCACAATTAGTCGGTTAAAGCTTGGACCTTGAGCTACAGCTTTTATAAGGTCGAGCGGATCTGTTGTCCTCAGCCTGCTACTTACCCTTCTTGGGTAAAAAAAAAAGAAACATCTGTATTTCTCAGACACAGTCAATAACTATTTACTACTAATATTTATCAGTTAAAAGTATATACTTTATATTGTAATGAGAATGTAATGATTTTTTAGAAAACAAATACATAATATAAATGATTTCTAATTATTTGCAAAAATAAAAAAAACAATTTATATATCTGAAGCTGAGCACAATATTTGAATCACTATAAATCTTAACCTTGCTTTTTCAAATATTTTTCTGATTCAAATAAAAAATAAAATATTATGAAGCAACGTTAGACTTCTCCCTTTCATTTAATATGAAATTTTTGTATTAATCAAGCACATCTTTTATAAGTTTAGAACTCAAAATCTTATAATCTACAATAAACAGTTACGTATAATGCAAAAGACGTTTAGTACACCTGATAACTAGATTGAAATATAAATATCCTGGGTACATAAAGATAGGTCTCAAGGCGATCACTGTCAATCACAACAAAATATTTTCATGTTATAAAATGCACTTATTTCAGTCTTTGCACATAACCGAATAGTGTAATTCTAATACAACTTGAGAAACTAATAAAAAAAAATTGTTTAGGATTTTACTTGGAAACAAACAAAGGAATTTTTAAAAAATAAAATCAGTTGTTTGAAGTGCTGGACTATTTGCTTTTAATGTATCACAGCTGTATTAATAAACTTATTGCTCATATCTTGCTATAATTACTAGATTAATTGTGTTTGGCTTTTTGAACATAAACAGTAAGTTTAACCAGCCTTTATACATGATTCTTCATTTAACCGTGGTGATGGATTAGAATTTGAGTCTTTTCAGTTGTTTAATAGTATTGCATCAATTTATATTTATTTGCTTTACCTTTATTATATCACATATCAACGACGCTTGCAAATCTTTGTTGATTTTGAAACTTTCATCTTGGAGAATGTTCTGTAACAAAAATAATTGAACCAGTAACATCTTAAATAGAATGAAAAGGATAAAGATAACGAACAGTTATTGATTTAGATAAAAATCTACAAACAATACAAATCTGTACACAGGGCATACAACACGGTCACCAAGAAATTCCATAGCTGGGATCAGTTGCTTAGGAGAAGTTAGCATCCCCTGTTGTTAAGTCACACCTGCCATTGATCAGACAGACAGAATACTCCGTAGTCAAATTCAGTATAAAAGCAAAGGCCTAACAATTGTATGCAACAAGTAAACCAAAATACGATCCAAAAATAGGTTAAAAATTGCTATCAAGATCAATACAATTTATGATTAATATTGACTTTAATCGAGGTTGATAAAATGCCTTTAATTTCAACTTATCTGTCAGTAGCCTGCCATAGTTAAAAAATTGAGCTGATCATCTTGTTTGTCATACAATTTTAATGTTAGTTGACCCTTATCGTCTATATAGTCAATAAGATACCCAAATATGAAACAGTTTTGGCAAACTTGTGCTGTCTTTTAATTCGAGTTCACTGGGATATATCAAGTCGTCATACAAGGTCTTGTGTCACCGTAGGTGTTGGCCAATAAAGAACCCTCACTGTGCAATGCCCGAGTACACCTCAAAATTTGAATCCCTTCATCGGCATACGGTGACGCGTACGTCTTTATTTGAGTGAAAAACTATCGAATGGGACGTTAAACATACAATCAATCAATCGAGTTGATATATGAATGGAAGTAACTATTGATAGTTGATATAACGTCTTCGATACATCTGGATGTCGAGTTGAAGGCCGCAGCAAGTGTTTTCTTTTTTTCATGTAAAAGGTTTTGGATAAATTTTGCTTTATAGGAGTATAGAAACAGGTCGGCTAATAAATAGGTAATAAATTAATCAATATTTAAAACTTTTAGTGACTAGATTTAAACTTAATAATTATTACCTTTAATGTCCCTCTACTGCAAGCTTCCGTTATAATGTATAACCCTGAGTCTTTATGAGTCAATCCGTAGAATTTCGTCAAGTAAACACAGTTTACATTTTTCAGCTAAAACAAAATATTGCAAAATTATTTAAACAATTGCAATGAAAATTTTAATCAGATGATTTTTCAAACTCTAATAAAATTGGGAAAGGTTTATGAATGTGTTCAATCTAAACTGAAATTACTAATTTTCAACAAAGTAAACAGGCTGTTTAGCAGATGTTACAGAAAATACAATTTCATTATGTTATCATACTTACATAAACATTTTAACATATCATCTTCTCTAGATTCAGTGCTAAATTTTAAAAAAGAATAATTGGTATTCCTTACATACTTTGATACTCTTTTAAGGTTTTCGAATTTTTACTTCTGACTAATCAACACTACTTTTGTTTAAGTTTGGAAGCATGTTTCTGAGGATCTATTGAGTGGCTTATACAGTTATGGTGGCAGGGGATTGTTTCGTACTATGGTAACAGTCAGTTAAAAAAAAAAAAAAAAAAAAAAAAAAAAAAAAAAAAAAACCTGAGATATCTCCTGTTTGCTGTGATATTTTATTTAGAAGATGAATAGAATAATTATGGGATACATGTACAGTATAGAAGAGTGCTTGCTGAGAAAAATGGTCTGCAACATGTAGGTGTCAGTTTGATGCTAAGCATATACATAGTTTTAAATGCAAAACTAAGACACGTTTTCAGAATCAGAGGAAATTCAGCTGGGAAGCAGTATGGCTTAGAAACAGGTGTGTATCTCAGAGGGAAAGTGAATGGCCCCATATCAATTGGTGAATTTTTATTTGGACATGCATTGATCTACAGAATATTGGGTGTTTTATCCCGCTCGTTCGGGACTTGGATTGGGCTCTATGGGTGCGACTGAGACCCAAATCTTGGAAAAAGAAGTCCATATCCGGGTAGGTCTCCAAATGCATTTCCTGTACATGTACACTCTATTATATATAGTATATGTTGTATTGACATATTTTTTGAGCTTTAAGAATATGAAGTGCAATTAATTAGCTCCCAAGAAAATGTCCCCCATGTATCTGTTTTTATTGACCTTATATGCATATGCCTACCCCCTCGGCACATGTTTGACATTAAAAAAAACTATCACCTGTCACCAGTAAATCATATATATATATATATATATATATATATATATATATATATATATATATATATATATATATATATATATATATATATAGTTCATACATGAATCAATTCCATCTGTGTTTCGTAAGTTGGTTGGAAATTCCTAATCGTAGTTGGTGTTAGAGCAACTGCAGACCCCTGAAAAAAATATAAATATATTATTTCATGACTAAGATTATATAATTTCTATTGAGTTGATATAAATTCCTCTATTATATCACGATTAACACTAGAATGATTCCACACATTTGCTGCTTTAGCATCATTGGGTGATTTTCTTAAATCTGACTCAAATTACATATCCTACATATTAATAGAATGGAAAGCTTTACAACTAAATTTTTGACAAACCGAATATCAGGATTGCTGATAATGTACACTTACCTTATACAGTTTGAGCAGGTTTGGGTTCTCTTTGATATCGTCATTATTTTCAGATGGAATTTGAAGCTGTACAATGTACAAAAGATGGGTTAAACAAACGGTAGGAAAGAAAAAAAAAATAATTTTTTTTTTTTTAAAAATAAGGCACATAAATGTATATGGTGTTAACTCAAGTAATTGAAGCAATGATTTTATTACTAGTTTGTGTGACAAAATTTCTTGCAGAATCTTTCGTTTAATGAAGTATTAAAAGTATCCCCTTTATGCAAACTATACCGAATTGAAGCATGATGATTTATCAACAAATGTCAACCTTGAGACTTTTTGTTAACTATAATAATTTTAAAACATCTCATTAACCTTTGAATCCCCAAACACAGAATGGATTCTTTCAGGATTCATTTCTAATGCTTCCCAATCAATTTTCCACCAATTGCTTTGTAAATCCACGCGTAGTTTTAGCTGCCTAAAATCATCATGGTTAAAAAACAGATTAACTGGTGTAGTATCTACTCAAGTATGTTGAACAGATACTTAAGAACTGATTAATTTAAGTTTATAGTGACTTCACGGAAAATTTGGCAAACTGAGAAAATGATAGAGACGCATATGATTGATTCAATTACGTTTAACTTTCTTTCTTACAAGGACATTGTAGATTGACAGTACAACAAAGAAACATTTAGAGCTTTTTCCTGACTTTTTATCTTCATTAATGTTATCTTAAATTCTTATAATATTTGTTTGAAGTCAAAGTTATTACGACCACTGTCATGTAAACTTTATATAATGTAATCTTGAGTAATTTGTAAATTACCACTATTAGTTAATCTCCTTCTTACATTACCTTCTCAGAGAGAACATATTTTTAGCTGATGGGTTTCATATACAAGACGTGTTTGCCGCTATTTTATTACTACCTGTAAATCATCCTTCCTACAGCCAAGACAATAATAATAATGGAACAAAAGACGATGGCGATGACAATCAGTAGATTAGATCTATCTAGAAACATACATGTTGAAAAGATGGATTAACGGCTTTATAGTGGATTCACGTCAAAAATGTTAATAATTCATAATCTGTGTATACATTATTTTATATCTACATTTTCTTCAACAACTATTTATATACAAATTCAAAAATAAAGAGTTTAGAGTTGTAGTGTTCATAGAATACCTTAAATAAGTCACAAATGCTTTAAAACATAACTAATATATACAACCTTCTGGAAAACAAATTGGATCTTCACCAGTGAACCCACATCTTGGTCTATTCACTGGGGGTCCTTTGTCCATTGGCCATTTTATACTTCTTTCTGCCTCCATGCGCAGTATGTTTCCAGAATAGACCCCAACTGTCTGAATAAAGAAACTTTGTGCAGCAGATTATTGTCTCTTTTATAACAAATGCCGTAAGATTAAATTTTGCTACTCTTAAAATATTATGCGTGGTTACAAGTAAAAGAACTTTAAAAATGGTTCTAGTTAGCTTAAAATATCTCTGGAGAGTCATCTTCTATTTGGAATTTGATAAATGGAGACTATGAATATTTGTTATTGTAACATCTCAATGTCTAAAAGTTAATCCGTCCTGACAAAGAGGTCGTGCGTAGAAGACCATGCTTTTGTATTACCCAAAACCTTTTCTTAAATTTTATTCAGTCTCGATCGTATATCTGTAAACGGTGCTATGCCAACGACTTTGCTTCCAAACTTAATAGAGTTGTCAAGGATATTAATCTGCTATTTGATTAATATAATTAAGCTTTTCCTTTGCCATTTTAATTCTGCATTTTACACAATCATTATGAATTTGTCTCAAATACAATACAAAGAAAGATACATCTAGAAAATACTAACAGCAGTTTAGGAGAAACTTCTGTTCAATGATATAGTAGGAAAATTATGTAAAGCAAATGTTGATACATTGTACTTAAAAACTCCAAGGAATTTTACGAGAATTGGAAGTTAAAAAATTTCCAACATCAATCAAAGTGTATGACTTTTCAATACTCTATACAACCATTCATGATCAGGCGTTTTGACATCATAGACAATGGAGCAAACGAAGATAAGGAACGGTGATCGATCTCAAAAAACCTAAAAACAATACAAATATGTGATCAAGGCTTAAAACACAGACCCCTGTATATTCCAGAGGTTGGATCGGGTGCCTGGAAGGAGTAATCACCCCCTGTCCATCGCCGTGAGCACCAGTTATTTATCAAATAGATGGAATAATGTTTAGTCAAATTTAGTTTTAAAAAAATTGCCTAACATTTGGTATGAAATGTGAGTCAAAATACGATCCAATGATAGTTTATTTTTGCTAACAAAGTCATTATAACGACTATTAAATTTACGAAATATTGACTTTAAACGATGTTTTTGAAATCCTTTTAACATCAACTTATCTGTCAGTGACCTGACTCGATTTAAAACTTGATCGTACTTGGAGCATGCTTTATCTAATAAGCTGGGAGACATAAACACCATGGAAAAGCTACAATCATCTTGTTTGTCTTATAAATTAGTTGTTAGTTGGCCCTCATCGTCTATATAGTCAGTAAAACATCAAAATACGAAAGAGATGTGGCAGACTCTGAGGTGTCTTTTATTTCGATTCACTAGGATTATCGACTCGACATATGATTGATCGATTGATTATATGTTGTTTAACGTCCCATTTGAGAATTTTTCACTCATATAATGGCTTCCATACATACATTCCATACACCATACACCGATGAAGGACTTCAACTTAGAACTATAATCGCCCTCAGGGCCATTGAGCAGTGAAGGTTCTTTATCATGTCAATGCCTACCGTGACAAGGGACCTCGAGTTTACGGTCTCATCGGAAAGATTCGTTATAATACTTTCACTTTTAGTGCCGGGTGCGTATTGAAGGAATAATCACTACCTATGTTGACGCGAGGTGGCAAACGAGAATCGAAACCCCGGCGTCCAGATCACAATACAGGAATAAAAGTAACTATTGTTAATTGATAAAACGGCATTAATATATTTGAATGCGAGTTTAAGGCTACAGTAAGTGTTCCATAGGAATATAAAAACAGATGGACTAATTAAGGAGCAGAATCGGTGCCATCAGAATTCCAAAAAAATTTTGGGAGACCTGGTCTCCAAAGACTACATAAATATTGCCAATGAGGAACACCAGCATCTTTTTAAAATCAACCTCAGAGTGCTTATGTGTAGAATCAGAGTGCTTTTTTTAAAAAAATAAGTTTGTAGATGACCAATAACAAGATATGAAAATTTCTGGGCTCCATTTCTATTGAAGAAGCATGTGATCATATCAAATAGCCTAGTTTTTTTTTTTAATTTATCTAGAGGAATGGTTGTATTGAGTGTCGAAAAGTAGCTTGATGTTACAATATTGATGTTACTGACTTTTGAAAAGTTTCGTGAATTTAAATTTTCTAAAAGTTCTTAAGAATTTCTGAAAATCCACATTTGAGTTACAACACAATTAGTTAATATTTTTGTGAAACGTAGAGTTAGGGGCTTGGTAAAGCAATTGCTGGAAAAGGCATATACGTATTTTTTTTAAGTTTAGCAATCCAGTGTAGGTAGGATAAATCGAACTCAATTTCGTTGAATTGAATGTTAAAAGTTGTAAAGACTAAAAGGTGGTGATGAAGAATTTCATCCTTAAAAGACAAACTATGCGTATAAGTTAGATTTAGAATCAAAATCATTTTCTTCTCAAATACTGTTTTAATATGAGCCCTATATTTTTTACACGCCTTGTATGCTTCTTCTCAAATAGTGCTGTAATATAAGTATTAAAAACAAAGACGATATTGTTACAAGCTTTGTAGGCTGAACCCATAATATATTGTTCATGCAGTCCTTCTCATCCTTTCATTACTTCCAATTTAGCGAAAACTGAAGGATATATGGTCTGCATTTCTTTTAACTTACGACACGATTTTTCCAATATATTTCTAAAACACTTAATCCATTTACTGCTTCTTTAAAAAAAAAGGAACTCTGATATTTTCACATTTTGTGATAGGAAATCTAACTTCGATAAAAATCATTCTGATACTTTGAAACTGACATTAAAAAAAGACTAATTTGAGTTACTTATTGAAAATATACTTGTCTTTTTTTACAGACGAGGCCTCCCAAATTCCACCCAAAGTGCTCCCTTATTGGGAGACCTTTTTGTACTTTTCTAAAGTAGAATTTATTTATAACTTCTACTTGAAAGAGTTTCTCTTGCTGGGACTTTCAATTCGATATTTCGATATATATCGACCATGTTTCATCAGTGAACGATATTTATTTCATTCATTCTTTCATTCAATATACTCTTGAACTCAACATAAAAAGACACCACAGAGTCTGAGGCATCTGTTTCATGTTTGAACGTATTACTAGAGAAAGACATTGATGGCAAACTAACACCTTAATTATTTATCAATGATGATAAACTCAATGACTGCTACTTCTTCTCTATTGCTAACTTTCCTTATTTTTATAGCAGTATTCCATTACTACCTGCAAATGGTGTTTGTGTCTTCTAGTCGATTCGAAATGCACGAGCATACTTATCATGAGCATTTTCTAAAGAAAGAGAGGCTACTGACAAATAAGCTTTTGTTACAATGGTAAAACCAATCTCTTTAAATCAAATTTCTATGGTCTAAACAATAATTATATCCCCGCTTGAAAAGCGACTTCTCTTATACCACTGAAAAAAAATTAATGAGACTTTCACAGAATATTTGTTACATTGCACAACTGTGCACTTCCTGATTTACTTTTTGATCAGTCATATATTTCGGGTTTACCAAAGCAAATCATAGAAACTGTTATTTTTTTCGATTTTATTGAGGTTACCCATCTCTTATCCGCAACTACTCCTATACCACTGAAAAAAAATGTAATGGTACTTTCAAAGAATCTTTATTACATAGTGTCATTGTGTACCTCAGATTTCACTTTTTGATCGAACACATTTTTCGGGTCTATCATAGTAAAACATGGACACTGCCATTCTCTTTATAAAATCGGTGGTACCCATCTCTTATCTGCAACTCCTCCTATACCTCTGAATAAAATTTCATGATAAATTCGCAGAATCTTTATTACATAGTGCCATTGTGCATTTCTTACTTTATGTTTTGATTGCGATCGGACAGATGTTTTGGGTTTCCCATAGCAAAAAAGTGGACTTTGCCATTATAATCATAAGGGAGGCAGAGTATCAATTTTTGAGCTTAGTGTTCACAGTGACTTTATTTTTGTTTGCAAATACAACCTGTCGTTGGGTCGAATGTTGACTGACGCCTTTAATCCATATTGTTAGGCCATTATTTTCATACTGAATTGTCTACGGATTACTACGAATTATACCTGATGAAGACAGAGCTTACGGTCTGTGTGATAGATGGACAAGGGATGCTTATTACTTTATGACACAGGATCCCCTTCCCAAAGTTTTCGGAGAGAATTGTTTGTTTTGCTCTGAATTTTTAGTGTGTTTAATTGGATTTTTTAGCATGATAACTATTCCTTATCTTCACATTTCATGATAATACACTTTTATTACATTTTCAACAGTGAAATGCTGTGATTTAATTATTGAATAAAAGTGATATTCTCTCACAGTGTGAAAGGATACCAAAGTGATATTCTCTCACTGTGTGTGAGGATATCAAAGTAAGTAAAAAATACCTACTGGCCCGTCATAAGATAGAGACAGTAACTAAACCGTCTTAATAGACACTAAAACTGCCAATTTTTCTCAAATATGTTGCTAAAATCCATGTTACAATGTTTTCAATCCCACAAATGCTAAGCTATGACGTCTTAACCGCTCAATTATGACGTCACAGCCTATGACACTGTGTTAAAAAAAGACAGAGGCAAAAGGAAAATCAAAGAAAATGTAATAAACAGAAAATTCAATGTTTCGTAGTTTGATATTTCACTCGTGAAAGAGGATTTATTTTATATTTTCACTCGTGCTTCGCACTCGTGAAAATATAAAAAAAAAATCCTGTCCCACTCGTGAAATAAATTCCATATCCAACTACCGGTACAAAACATTGAATATCCTCTATGTATACTTTTTCGTTCAATCAAAATAACTCAAAATATTTTGTACAGTATCACTTTTAAATAGCAATATGTCTTCAAAAATTCGTACCAAAATCTCTTACCCAAAGTCTTCCTTCTGCATCGAAATCAAGGACTGACAGATCTCTCTCCCCATCGCCGTTTTCGTTTATCCTGAACCTTCCAGCCATAAGACCACTAAATGTTTTATTCCGCATTCTTTTCGTAACTAGTCGCCCATCATAAACATTTTCGCCATATTGAATCATCTCCTTTATTGTTTTGCCATAGATTAGGAAAGCATCATGGTATCCAACGATGTAGTGTTGTACCTTAGATACGAAGCAAAGCAGAAGCTGAGTTTGAACCCTGTATCTATTTACTATTATTAGTATTATAACAATTCCTATCATGTTATCTTTCTTGACTTATTTTCAGATCATTTCCATTTGATACTCTCTAATAGAGATTACTGTCTGTGATTTTCAGAAAATAATATTAATAAGTATTAATGAATTTAATTCACATCTGATTTCTCAGCGTCAAAATCGTAGTTATATTTCGTAAGAGAATGGTTCTTCACGGAGGCTTCAAAGATTGCAAACTCGGGACTTTCTGGGTTATTTGGAAGTGCCACCAGCAATGCATTGAATGCTTTCTTTGCAATCTGCAAATACATTTCTAGTAATTTTCTAAAGAAGATGTTACAAAAATGTAAGAGGTGATGTACTCAATATATTCATGATTTCTTTCAATTGTCCAAAAGAAGTATTTTTTTATATTGCTAAAAGTTAATAAAAATGCATCTTTTAAATATTTGACATGTTTATGTAGGGAAATATAAACAAAACTCCCCTTTTTTTTTTACAGATACACGTGTAACATACTAATTGTTTCAAAAGTGAAAATATTTACAAAATGCAATACATTTATGTATAATGAAAACTTTGAAATGTTTACTTGCCTCGTTTCTCTTTTCATCTCCTGCCACATACCACTGGTCAGACAAAAAAGGTGAAAACGTTTTAAAGAATAAAAAAACAAATTCACCATTCGTCATTCCCAAATCATGAGCTTCCAACATCAATTCCCTTATGCGCCTATGGGAGCACACCAAAACAATCACTGAAATGTAAATAGTTACTGTATCTGATTAAAAGATAAAACAGCTCAATTAAACATCATATCATAAAAATAATGCATAAAGTGTTCTTGCCTCTTGAGACTTTAGCTGCAGCTTTCAGGGCGTTATTGAAAGTGCTAACTTGAGCATCGCATAAAGTCGCCCGAAGTCCATTTTCAGCAAAAAGGTGTAAAAGATTCGTACTTTGGAACTTATTTGTCAACTTTGATAACTCATAGTAAGAATCTAGTAAAATTGCAATATCCTTCCAACTGTACATTTGAAATAGTTTCAGGTAAAATTGTCCAACCATATCAAATGTAAATGAAATTCTTGTTAGCGTAGGAAAGAAAGTTTTGTTGTCAAATAAAGAATTGATTCCGACAGGGGTGATAATAGGGATATTCCAGTCAGCTGCCATTCTTCCGATCAGTTCAACGCCGGTGCTGCAACCTGAGAAAGAAAAATTACGAAACAACTCAATTTTTACGGCAAGGATTAAATCATTAACCTTCTTTATGGAGTTGGGCTTATTTAAGTATACCCAATAGAATACAGATTTTTTTCATCTTAAAAAAAAATTGATATTAGTTAAAGCAAAAGCTATGCGTGTACTTTCTTTTCATTTTTACAAAGTAAAAGAATACCAGGTCCAATAAAAACAGAGGTGTTTTTAACATAACGATGCTCTGCTCCTAGTGCTCCGAAGTCGTATTTAGTACATCCAGTGATTTGGGTCATGCTTCGGAAGAAGCGAAAGGTTGCCATCCCATTCAGCATTTCTGTTAATTTTCTTTGTCCTAATTCTAGCGCTTTTTCGGTTCTAACTATACTCCATGGCGCTGTTGTACTATTCGACAGGAAAACGCCAAGGTTGATTTCAAGTTTACTGCAATACATGCAACGCAAAAAGTACAAGAAGACCAAAAATAAAAGTTGTTTTGGTAACATATCACCTGCATCGATTTTTCTTTCCAAGCCTAACTTTAAAACAAACCCCCTTTTTGGACTTTAGGATTGCGCCTTAGATGTTAAATGAACGACAATGTAAAATCATTACATTTATATACCTTAATAACGGAATTTTTAATTTATTTCTGCGTGTTTTTATTTAATAATGTTCCATATTTTTAAATCAGATCTTACAAACTGTAAATGTCCAAAGGTAAAGCAGAAGATACGATCAAACGCTGCCTGTCTGTTTGTCTTTCATTAAATTTTGATTAATAAAGTATCAAGGATATCATAAATCAAACAAATTTAATTACAGACAAAAATTGTTCTTTTTTTGTTAAAGAAATATATATATTGAAAATATAAACTTGAACGGCTTTCAAAGCGAATGTTAAGAAACTTTTTTTTCAAGTTTAGTATATATATATATATATATATATATATATATATATATATATATATATATATATATATATATATATATATATATATATATATATAAACTCAAAGCCGTTTCCTTTTTTATAAAAAATGTTTAACATTCACGCAGAATAATACCTATTTCCAATATTTTCCAATTTTTTTCTCAACAAGAAGACAATTGTATATCTAATCAATAGAGAATTTTCACATTTATTGTCTGAGAACAAAAAGGGAAATATCATGAAGAATATCTAAGTTAAAAATTGAAAATAAACAAATAACACATCGCATTTTAAGAAGCAGTAAAGATCTCCATTATTTCATGGGGGGTACGATCAACTATCAATTAGCAAGACTAGGTTATATAAGCCTATTTAATTTTTGTAAAATAAATAAATAAATAAATAAATCAGATCTTATGAATATTTCCTACCAGCCTAATTAGCTTTTTTTTATACTAAACAAGATAGAAAAGGAACTGAGGCATGTGATTGCTTAGTATGTTCTGTGCTTCTGGTCCTATTTACTCAATGCTATTTCAATAATTGTTAATGAATAACAGAGCGTAAGAAGTTCTCATTCTAGGGTAAAACAAAGGTTTACTAGGTTAACAAAGCTAGGTGCATTGCTTCATCGGGAGGATAGAAATCAATGAACGTCACTCACTACCAAAGAGCCAAATTCCTATTTCATAAAACCAAGAGAAAATTTATAGTCATATATGACGTATTTTTTATAAGTTCAGATAACCAAAATTAAAAATATCTTTCTAATTGATTTATTACTTTATATAAAGATAGGACTTTTCTGTAAATTACACAATTTAAATCAACTGCGTTTCAAAGATAGCAAAAAGTTAAAACAATAACCGATTTATTTACCGACTCCACATTTAAATAAAAGACACATTTAAGGTCAATTTAATAATAGAAATTTGAGATTATTCAAATCCAAAATCGATCAAGATTTTAATTGAACATAAATAACATACATTATATCATGTATATTTACACTGACTCAATCTCGTATTATCATTTTTTAGCTCAGATACGCCATATATAGCTTTAAAGTACCAATACTGGAAAACAAAGAATTGTAATATTAATATCATATACATGTATATTCTCAAAAAAGAATTCCTTATTTAAAAAAAAAAACAAAAAAAAACAACATTTTGATAAATCTCAACAAACTCTCAGAAGAGAATTCCTTTTATTTATTTATTTTTTTTTTTTTTTTAAACATTTTTATAAATCTCAACAATCTTTGAGATTTTTTTTTTTTTTTTGCACTATCGGTTGGGATATTAAATTGGCTAACGTATTAGTGATCTAGGCCAGCAATAAATCCTAAATAGTCAACAGTTAAACATGCTTAAATCTCTTTAAATCTTGGCTGAAATAGTTTCATGTCAGAGATAAAGATAGAGGTGTAAAGATATTTTTTTTTCACTAATTCTGTAGATTTTAATGACAGTTTAGCACCTCAGGTCCAACATTCATTGTTTACTGAGCTTGAACCTGCATCCATTATTATAACCTATTATTGATAACGATAGCTTTACACAGTTACATAGTTACCCAACCATAAATCTTGGGCTTGGAGTGTACCAAGTTATTAATGGTATCAGCAAAAACTCCTTACGTGCACTAACTCATCCTTGAAACATACAAGGATATCCAATTTTTGGTTGAGAGTTGCAGAGATTTTAATGAACGCCCAGATCTACATCTACATATGTACTTCAGGATGCTCACATTAACAATACGTCTTTAACTCATACAACACAAAAATATATTTGGTCAAGAAAAGAGAATAGGAAATATCTCATATATAATCACAATGATCCCTAGGCCTAAGAGATAAATATTTTTACTTGAGCAGAAGACATCTACGTATTGCCAGTATCCTAACAAAATAGGAAAAGGGGGGAGGAGAAAGTGTCAGAACATATGAAGTTGCATGTGTGTTGAAGAAAGCTTAGTGTAATCTTAAGATAGCTACATTTAATAGATTATTTTAAAAGTGGCAGTTTACGATTCGTCTACTCACCAGTCTTTAATAGTTGTTTAAATATAGGTGTCTATATGAATTTAAATTGCTGGTATTATAAACCAGGAAGTGATTGTTTTCTCTGAAATCGATCGATCGTTTTGGGAAATCAAAATCAATCTACAATTTAGAGGGAAGAAGTTAATACAGTATACATGCAAAATGGCAGGCCGGATGATCCTGTGCTTAAGAAAGCAAAAGAGATTGTTTGTAAAAACATTTGTTGGAGGTATCTCTCTCTCTCTCTCTCTCTCTCTCTCTCTCTCTCTCTCTCTCTCTCTCTCTCTCATTTTTATATAAATCAAGACATTGTTTAACTCTTTGTAGGTACCGGAGTTGTCATATTTTGGGCTTCTGTCACATCATTATTAATGAGTAAGTTTCTGATATGATAATATATTATTAATCAATTGAGAGGTTAACAATTAATGACGAACTTGCTAAGTAATAGAAATATTAAAAAGTTTTTACTACAACCTAAATAAATAAAATTTTTCAAACTGCATTAGTAAAATAAATGTATTGTTTTGAGATATTCTAAATTTAATTTTATTTATCAAACTATTGAATGATTCAATAATAAAACTCAAGGGTATATCTGGCCTGATATCAAAACATTCAGTCGCTTTTTAGGGGAATGGGGGGGGGGGAGGGAGGGGGTGTAATATAAAGTACATGAATTTAAAAAATAGTCCTTAACTCTTCTTGTAATGCCATGCTTTAATCTGCGTTTTCCTATAACTGCAAAGCTTAATCATATTTTAGAAATAATCAAGGTATGTCACGCGTGAATTAGTTATATCAAGGATTTTTTAAAAGTATATTTTAATAAGTACTCATATATTTTGACTCAAAATCGCAAAGAAAATTTGGGGTCAGTGTGCATCTTATTGAGCAACGCTACAATTAACTTGAACTTTCTGCACTTAAATTGTAACTCTTCATTATTCATCATTCTAACTTCATCATACTTTACCAGATGCAATCATGGCAGTAAATATAATCTTTTTTTGCGTAAAATAGATTAAATAATATTTATCATTGGACAAATCTTGCAAATTAATGCTTATAAATTATTGTGTGACCTTTTTGCACTAAAAAAGTATTTGGAGCATTAAAACTCTAAATAGGCAACATATTATATTCTTGTATCAAGCTTTTTATTACGTTAGTGCTGATCGGTTGGAAGTATCGTGTGAATTAAAATAATGAAGAAAAAGATGGGACTAGTGGTGTAAATTCTGAGATACATGTATTGGTTAAAATATGCGATTTTCAAGTCAAAAGAAGTGTAAATTTTATCTTGACTTCTTCAATATATCTTCATTTCTTGGCAAAGTCTGTCAAGTGAATGTGTAAAATTTGTTCTAAAAATATTAATAATTGAACCTATATTTAATATTCCTAGCATATAATAATGGGGAAAATGCTCTGGGTAAAAATATGTAGGGCTAAAGTTCCAAGATAATAAATTAAACAAATGTGTATATTTGAAGAATTTTCTTCTAAATATCCTTCCATCGTAAGAAATAGTCCCCCATAAATCTTCTTTCTTTATGATTAATGATTTTATGACCAAGTGAGCTTTTCTGATCATATTTTGTCTGGCGTCTGTCTGTCTGTCCGTCTGTCTGTTTTTCTGTCCGTCTGTAAACTTTTAACATTTTTAAATTCTTCTCAAGAACAACTGGGCCAATTTCGACCAAACTTGCCACAAAGCACCCTTGGTGATGAAACAAGAATATCAACAGTCTCGTTGAAAGTCATCATTTCGTAAGTTCTATGGTCGATACAATGACCTTGTCAGCAAATTTAATCTATCATTAAAGAATATAATGCTGACTGACATTTTTCGTACTAATTGTTAGGCCATCATTTATACACTGAATTGTCGACGGATTTTTCTGTTATTTCCCGATCATGACAAGGAGCACACTGCGGGTGTAACCGGTTGGCAGGGGGATGCTCACTCCTCCATGGTACTGATCGCACCTCTGATGTTTTTGGAGGTCCATGTTTGCTTTGCTTCCGATTTGTATTGTTTTAATGGACTTTGACCTTGAATACTGTTCGTTATCTCCATATTTCATCCTAAGGTATAGGGTTAGGGTATATATATATATATATATATATATATATATATATATATATATATATATATATATATATATATATATATATATATATATATATATATAATAACAATAATATGACAATATATAAAACCCTAACCCTAACCATTTGGTTCAAGTTTGTTCAAATGAAGGGCCATGCCCTCTTACAATGGGAGATGATTAAGAATTGGTGAAAAAGTGGTGTCATCTTTTAAAAATCTTCTTCTCAAGAACCATTGCGCCAGAAAAGTTGAAACTTATGTGAAATCTTCATAACAGAGTTTAAATTCAAATTCGTTCAAATCATTAGCCCCGGTAGACGGGTTGGGGCCACAGAGGGGAATCGAAGTTTTACATAAGAATGTGTAGGAAAATCTTTAAAATTCTTCTCAAGAACAACAAAGCCAAAATAGTCATATTGATATGGAGGCATCCTCGGGTAGTGTAGATTCAAGTTTGTTCAAATCATGACCCCTCAGAGAAGGGTGGGACCACAATGGGAGATCAAAGTTTTACATAGGAATATATAGGAAAAAATCTTTGAAAATCTTCTCAAGAACAACAAAGCCACGATTAGACAAATTGATTTGAAAGCATCCTAAGGTAGTGAGGAATCAAATTTGTTCAAATCATGACCCCTACGGTAGGGTGGGGCGACAAAGGGGGTCAAAGTTTTACAAAGGAATAAAGGAAAAATCTTTTATAATCTTCTCCAGAACAACAAAGCCAAAATTAGTCAAAGAGGTTCTGACTAAACTTTTCTTATAAGCTGACGAGTGACATACCTCAAATTACTTTTAAGATTCTTAATATGTCGTAATGTTATGTTTTGTTTTAACATGTCCCTAATACTAGTAAAACAATGTTAAGTATGCTGCTTTTTCAGTCGGATTTTTCCGACAACAATGCTCCACCTCCTCTTATGTTCTCCCTCTCCTGATGGTCCCCACCAGTGTGATGGGAATATTTACTGGGATCTTCCTCTGGATGTTTGTGGGATTCCTCTGGGATAAAGATATACGGGATTTTATGCAGTTTATGGCAGCTCTATCTGTCATCGTCACATTCATCTTGGAATTCATTTGTAAGTAATTTTACTTTACAGAAAGATAAATGAAATTTGCTTAATAATAAAGCTAATTTAGGTACATTTAGAGTGTCAGATCTTGGAAATACCACACAATAAAATTATATATGTCTGTATATTTCAGCCTTTGGAATTGCCATATGGAAGAGAGACGACCCGGATTGTACCAATCCTTTTTATGGCTACTCAATCGGAATGCCGTTTTCATTGGGAATTCTATTGATTTTTCTTTATATTGTATTTGGTATTGATAGATATAAAAACTCTAGAACAAATCCACTTGATTAATTGGAATATTATTTATGTTCTCAACGTAAAAATTAAATCAGTTCGATATATAAAAATGAATGTTATTCACATATCAATGAAACTTGTTAAAGTATTTCCCTTACCAATGACAAAATTGTGTGGGATCAAGGAAGCATTGCTTGAAATACTTACAAAAATGATCTTTGAAACTTGAGAGATATCTGTAGTGCAAGTGATTGTAATTTTTTTCTGCTTGATGAACTTTTCCTAATTAAAGATAAAGAATCATGTATGTTTTATACATGTTCATTGTTTGATGTTTTATACATGTTCATTGTTTGCTGTTTTATACATGTTCATTGTTTGATTTTTTTTTTTTACATGTTCATTATTTGATGTTTTCATACAAGTTCGTTGTTTGATGTTTTTATGCATGTTCATTGTTTGCCGCTCTGAAAAAATCACTTATAGGTTTATAATCTTTGTCCTAAGGAAAGAACTAAGAAAAGAATAAATATCCTAGACAAATTCAAGAATGAAAGAACACATCAGGTGATGTACTTACAACGCTAATCCTGTACATCCTAACCGATAAGAACCGGAAGTAAGCAAACACAAACAAACCAGTGCGGAACAAAGGCAGAAATAGTACCATAACGAACCAGAACAGCAACTAGAGTGCTGGAGAACATTTCTGTTGTCTTCTAAATGGAAATGAGATCCAAGAGGTCCCAGACATTTTTCCGGTGGAAGACTTTAACACCAACCCAGTCACCAAAGGGAAGATCATTAAAGAACTCAATAAAATCAAGAATGGTAAAGCCCCAGGACCGGACTCTATTCCACCAGAAGTCCTTAAAATATTCCCAAAAATAAATGTAACAGGAAACATTTTGAAAGGTCTGTCTGAAAAAAGATTTAGGAATCGAAGAAATATCTAAGAACTTGAGAATGGGCCTCATTGTAAAGTGACCCAAAATATGGTGGTTGTCAAACCTGGAGAGGAATCCCTAGAAAAGTCCTCACTAGTATAATATTAGAATTAAATTGCTGTCGACAGCTGGTTAAGAAATGAAAAAGTAGGATTTTGGTGTGGGTGCTTATGCACAGATCAAATAGCCACTCTATATCTTATCATTGACCAGTAACTGTTACTAAAATGGACATCTCCTCTATACATTAATTTTCTCGACTTTTTAGAAAGCATACGGCACAATTGAATGTATTACATATGTACTTATGTCCGAAGATTGAAGCACTTTGGCTTTACAGCAGAGTTTTTATATATACATGTGTAAATATAATTCAGGGGCTTTATTCCAACATAATGTGCCACGTTTTTCACATCGCATTTCAACACCATTTGAGAAAGCACCGGATTACGCCAATTTAAGTTTGTCTTTTGTCTCCAATCATATTCTGATGGATTGGATTAATTGTGAACAGCGCAATGGCATCTACACGTGGCATAAAATAGTCTACACTGAACAAAATTGTACCTTGAAGATGACGTAAGATTGATTTGTAATCAAATTAGCAAACTAGTTTGTAACAAAATAGAGGAACAGACGAAGACATAAGATCAAGAACAGGAATAAGACATGCATTTGTTACATAAAACCAATCCGGAAAACCAGAAACGTCAGTTTAAACTTTAAAAACTAAACAAAATTGATTGAGAAAATTTAATGTCAGTCTTAGATAATATCAAACACAGAATTATGGAGGAGAGCCAACCAAACACCCATAGAAGCAATTGCAACTTCTCGTGCCTTTTCGGCAAACGGAAAACAACCTCGACTGTTTTACATAGGCTTCTATGACACGCCCCCCCCTTTTTTTATAAACATTGAAATAGATGTAGGGAGACCTCTTATCTGTAGAGTATAGAGTTTAACTTTATTGGTTGTAAAAAAAAAAAAAAAAAAAAAAAAAAAAAAAAAAAACCGGTATTACCTAAAATATGCACTACAGAAGGGACAAGCATTTCCATTCATTACTTTAATAAAAAGGATGCAACTCCATTTTTTATAAAATTTTCTTTTTCCGAGCTTGCCGGAAAAGCCTGAGAAAATGCAATTGCCATAGCAGATACCATCAAACAACGAAATTGGTGATGGATTGGTTCTTCGAAGACCTCAAAACATCACAAGGCATGCCTTAGACTGGGGCCCACAGGGTATCTGACAATCACAAACTAGGTAGTGAATATTCCCTCACCAAGCGCCCGGCATTAGAAGTGAAAGTCAAGTGAAAGTCAAGCGGGTCTTTCGAATAAAACCTAAAAAAAAAAAAAAAAAAAAAAAAAAAAAAAAAAAAATTAAAAAAAAAACCGGAGGCCCGTGTCTCAGTAACTTTTCAGAGTTTAATCATATAAATGACATTTATTAAAATAAGGTGTCCACGAAAATTATGTCCAATAACTATTCTTCGCAATTAACTTGAACACGTTTAGGGGCATTTGTGTTAAAGGAGACTCGAGGCTCAAGATAACAAAATTTTATTCAATGGATCTTTAAAATATTAAAATATAGCTTTTGAAATATAATGTCACCTTTGAAAGACTAATAAAAGCACTTAATTAATTATTTTATACTAGTATTTTTTCCTTGTATTGTTCACAGAAATTGATTTTTTTTTATGTAAATAAGATATTTAAAGCTTGAAATTTACTATATAAATTGACAAATAATATAAATGTCTATTATAAAAAAAAAAAAAAAAAAATAGCGTGTCATAAATGTCTGATAGACGTTTTATTTTTAAATAAATGAAATATTCAGGAAAATGAATTATTTGTTAGTATATTTTAAATCTATGGATATAAAATCCTCAAGAAATATGACTGTCACTTACAGAAAAAAATTAAACAATTATAATTTAATATATGTAAAAAGAAATAAAAGAAGTGCAAAAATTAAGAAATATTGCTTTACAACCCTGATTGAAATAATTTGAGCGATCCTGATCGACATTCTAGTATTACATGAAATTTATTTTTTTTTTTTTAAATAAGAAATATTCAGGAAAATGACATAAATTATTAGCATATATTTGTTTACATTTCTTAAATCTTTAAAAAAAAAAAAACACGTCACTTACAGAAAAGGAAATATTAAACCTTATGGAATTCCATATAAATGAAATGAAAGTGCGTATATAAGAAATAAAAGCGATCTCGATAAAAATTAACACAAAATTTAAGGGGAAAAAAAATCAAATTTCTGCTATCTGATGTAAACATTTCAATAACAATTTGTGCAGGTTATCGTTCTTTATGTGTAATCTGCTGAGCTCAGGCATTTTTCTGCAGGTATTTCGCAACATGAATATGTCGATTTCCGTGTATTGTGCAATACCTCGTCTATAAAATAAACAAACGTTGCCAAGATAGCCTAGATCGCTATTAAACTCGAGCCCGACAACGTCTCCCAATCATGGCGAGACACGGAGGGTTTTGGGGGCGTTTCTCAGCCGCTTACTTCGTCAATCCGAACGCTGTCCTTAACGGCTGACCCAGGGGCCCGGGTTGGCCTTTTATCGAAGAGGAACCCGGGCCGTACTGTTTTACATCTCTTGGCGACACATTCACCAACATCTACATGTATACAGGGACCTGGGAGACACGCGGCAACACGGGCCTGAAAGACGGACCTCTTCTCTAAGCGGCCGCGCATTCACACCGGTCTCGGTGTGCTAGCAGTGGGGAGAGTGAAGTCTGGAGGGCCCCCCAATTGTACAAGTTTTGTGGTGAATTGCTTCATTTTTTACCACAACGTTGTCACTTTTGGGGATTTATAATCTCATCTGGGATCGAGACAAGGTTTGTTATTGTCACTTTTGGGGATTCATAAGCTCATGTGGGATCGAGACAAGGTTTGGTATTGTCACTTTTGGGGATTCATAAGCTCATCTGGGATCGAGACAAGGTTTGTTATTGTCACTTTTGGGGATTCATAAGCTCATCTGGGATCGAGACAAGGTTTGTTATTGTCACTTTTGGGGATTCATAATCTCATCTGGGATCGAGACAAGGTTTGTTATTGTCACTTTTGGAGATTCATAAGCTCATCTGGGATCGAGACAAGGTTTGTTGGGGATTCATAATCTCATCTGGGATCGAGACAAGTTTTTTGGGGATTCATAATCTCATCTGGGATCGAGACATGGTTTGTTACTCTTGTTTTCATAATGAAATATTAAGGACTTTAAATTTATCTTTTTTTTTTTGTACATTTTTTCTGAGAATAGTATCCTGATACATGCAAGACATGTCAAAGCCTGCGATTTTCTAATTATGTTTAAAACATGCTTTGAAAATATGTTGAATTACTTCTGCTTCTTTCTCCACACCCACACTTGGCACACTTAAGTTGATAAACAGTATGTAAACGTAGACTGTTTTATTTGGTTATGATAACTTCAAACGCTGTGGATACACTGATATATTAAAAAGGAAAACAGAGAGATCAGTTATTAGCAGGTTGAGACTTAGTGCCATAGAAACCTTGCCAAAGAAAAAGGGAAACATATGTCTACACCCACAGATAAAAGATTTTGTAATATTTGCAACACAGGGGAGATTGAAGATGAATTTCATTTTCTGTTCAACTGCCATAAATACAATAATCATAGGTTAACTTATGAAAGTAACTTGATGAATTTTTTTCAAGGAAAAATATCAAATATGTCTTGTACTCAAAAAGTTAAGCTTTGCTTTAATAGCCAATGTCCAGAAATACTGAAAATAACACACTCATTTATTAAAAAATGCCATATATCTAGAAACGATTGCAAATACATAATTATTGTACAAATGATGGTATGATTTATAATTATGTATAGCCTCACATTCTTTACTAGAATATTTAAATGTGTGAACAATTGATGAGTCTTTTAATATGCTGTGCCTTTGCCAATTATTGTAATTTTGTTTGCGCCAATAAATATTTGTATTTGTGTAACTTGGCTACCTTGACTAGTCATTATTCAAACACTGATAGGTCATGGAGAAGCAAACGTCTACTTCAGTTATTTACTTCGGCAGACTTACAAGAAAAAATCATGGAAAGTTCTGCAAATTTAAAATTTACTTGGTAGAGATAAATGCAAAATTTATACGATAACGGTATGTTGTAAATTTTGCAATTACGTACCTTCACCTACCAAATCCAAACTTTACAACATGGTAATACCTAAAAGTTATCGATTTCTACCTAAAGTGTACCATGGTTTTTAAGATGGCTGGGTTGTCAC